GGGTTGATGTCTTTGTAAATTTTATTGACACAGAGATATGCCATTCATGTATGTTTTCTAACAGTTATTTTTGTACTACAATAGTAAAGTATCTGTGACAGATTATGGACTGCAAGACCTAAAATATTTACTCTCTGGCCATTTATAGAAAAAGTCTCGCTGAACCCTGGTCCAGGTCATTTATATTACCAAAATTTTTTGAAATTAGCTTACCATTTTGTATAAAATAAGCCTTCTAGAATTTTACAGGAATTAGGTTGAATCCATAAATCAATTTGAGAATGCCATTGTAACAAATACAAGTCTTCCAATCCATGAACACAGTACTACCCTTCATTTATGTAGATCTTTAAATTTATTTCCCTCATCAATATTTTATAGTTTTCAGTGGACAGATCTTGCACATTTTTATTAAATTTCTTGCAAATAACTTTTTAACTTCTTAGATCATTCATTCATAATATATGAAAATGAAGCTTATTTTATATTCATCTTGTATCCTTTGTTAAACTTGTTAATTATCTAGTAGGTTTTTGGTGTTTTCTTAGAATTTTTTACATAAAAGATTTTGTCATCTGTAAAGAGGACAATTTATTTTAGTTCTTCCTTTCCAATATGTATGCCTTTGTTTTTCTTGCCTTATTGCACTGGCTCATACATCCAGTAAAATGATAAAGTGGTGAGAGCAGACATCCTTGCCTTGGTCTTTATCCTAGGGAAAAGCATTTGGTTAAATATGTTGTTACTATACTATAGTTTTTTTGTAGATACCCTTATCAGGTTGAAGGAGTTCTGGTATAGTCCTAGTTTTCTGAAAGTTTTAAAAAGTCATGAATAGGTTTTGGATTTTGTTAAATGCCCTCTTCTATGTCTATTAATATATTCCTGTCTTTTGTTCCTCATTTTATTAGTATGGGATATTGCAGTGATTCTCAACTGCAGGTGATTTTGCTCTCTAGGGAATATTTGACAATGTCTGGAGAAATTTTTGATTGTTAAACTAGTAGGGAGGGTGGATCTGGTGGGTAGAGGCTAAACATCCTACAGTGCATAATAAAGAATTACCTAGCCTAAAATGTCAATAGTGCTGATGTTGAGAAGCCCTGGTGTATAAACTCCATGGGATAATGTATAGTCCTTTTTGAATGTTGCTGGATTTGACTTGCTAATATTTTGTTAAAGATCCTTGAATCTCTGCTCATGAGAGATATTAAGTTTTATTTTTCTTGTAATGTCTTCATCTGGCTTTGAATCAGACCACTAATATTCTCATCGAATGAGTAGGATTTTTTTTTCAAAACCTGTATATTCTAAGATTTTGGATAGGCTTGGTATTGTTTCCTAAGGGCTTGATAGAATTTACCAGTAAATTTACTGGGTCAGGACATTCCTGTGTAAAGATTTTGTTATAAATTTATTTTTACTTGATTCAGGTTTTCTATTGCTTTATGAGACAGTTTTGGTAAGATTTGTTAAACACTTTCAAATGTCTTGGTATATTCATAATATTTTTTTATAATTCTATTTTCTGTTGATTGGTAGTGATGATCTCTCTTCTTTCAGTTTAGATATCCATCATTCGTGTGTGTGTGTGTGTGTGTGTTTTGGTACTGGGTCTTTTTCTTGGTCATTCTTTCTAACCATAATCATTTTGTTGTTTTTTTCAAGAAGCAACTATTGGTTTCAGTGACTTTCTTTTTATCTATTTCATTAGACGGTAATCTTTATTTCCTGTCTTTTGCTAGGTTTTGTTGGGTTTGCTGCTGTCTTGCTAGCTTTTCAAGAACAAGTTTAGATGATTGGAGATCTTTCTTATGCATTTAAAGCTATCAATTTCTGTCTAAGTATGGCATTGTTGCATATGCATTATTTATTTTGATATAGTTTACACTAACATTTATTTCCTAATTTCTTTTATACTTTCTTTTCTGAAATATAGGTTATTTTTAAGTATGAGATTTAATTTTCAAATATTTGGGGGATATTCCAGATTTCTTTCTGCTGTTTCTATTTTTTGGTACTGGTGATTGAAGCCAGGGGCACTTAACTATTGAGCTGTATCCCCAGTCCTTTATAATTTTGATTTTGAGACAGCGTCTCGATAAGTCACTTAGGGCCTAACTTGCTAAGGTTAACTTTGAACTTGCAATCCTCCTGTCTCAGCCTCCTGAGTCTCTGGGATTGCACACGTGTCACAAAACCCAACTTGTTGTTGATTTCTAATTCCATTATACTCAGGGAACATACTTTGGATGATCTGAATCCTTTTTCCACTTATTAAAACTTGTTTGTGGCACAGAATATGATCCATCTTGGAAATATTTTTTGTACACATGAAAAGAATATTCTGCAATTGTGGGGTAGAACTATCTAGTTTCAATTAGGTAAAGGTGACTGGTAAATGTTTTCAAGTAATATTCTGACTTTTTCGGTTTTACACTATCAATTTTCAAGAGATGGATTTTAAAAACACTAACTATAGTGGTAGACTTGCCTATTTCTTCTTGCAGTTTTAACAGAGATCCTCTTGATGAACAGACAACTTTATCATTATTAAATAACTATCTTTATCCCTGATAATATTCTTTGCTTTGAAATCTTTGCCTGACGTTAATAACTCCAACTTCCTTTAGATGAGTGTTAACATGGTATATACTTATTTACTGTATTAGTTTTTAATTGCTACAAAACAAATTACCCCAAATTTAGCAGCTCAAAACAGTACACTCTAATTGGGAGTTTCTGTGAGTAAAGCTCTGACACAGCTTGGCCAAGTTCTCTACTTCATGGTTTCTCACAGGCTATAATTAAGTTGTTGGCTGGGCTCCAGTCATCTTAAGGCCCAACTGAGGAAAGATCAATTGCCAAGTGCACAACATAGTTGTTGGTAGGATTCAATTCCTAGCACGTTGTTGAATTGAGAGCCCGAGTTCTTTGCTGGTTTGGCAGAAGGCTCTCCTTAGCTCCTTGCTACAAGGGCCTCCCCATCATGTCAGCTTGCTTCATCAAAAAGTGCAAACAGAAAAGGCAAGCGTCTGCTAGCAAGATAGGGATCCTAATATAATCTAATCATATAAGTAACATCCATCACTGTTTCTGGATTCTGTTGGCTAGAAGTTAAGTCACTAGGTCTATCCCTATAAAGGCATGAAAAACAAAGAGGCAGGAATCACTGGGAGCTGCTCCACATCTTTGAGGTTATTAGGGGATACTTTAAAAAGTGTGACTATTTTCCCATGCTATTGTTTACCTTTATGGAATTGGGACATTCTCTAATTCTGAAGGATTTTGTTTTAAGTTTGTCCCCTACTTGCTAGTAGGATCTCCTCTGGATATCCAGCACTGTTAAGGATTGGATTATTTCAGTTTTTGTGTTTATTTCAGTGAGACTTTGGGAGAAAAGAAAATAAGTATGTTTAACCCATCAACCTCACCTAGAATTCACTTAATTCTTTGCACTGAAAAAAATATATCAATGTCAAAATATACATTTTCCTTATTAAGAAGGCAGTAAGACACATATAGTTTTCTAAGTATACTGGGCAATTATAGTGTCTCTCAATTTACAAATGAAGAAACTGAGGCTCAGAAAGGTTATGTAACTTTGTTCAGGGTGAAATTGGAAAAGAGACATCCTGTAAGAGGTAGAGGGGCAACCATGCAGTATATGCAAACCAAATGGTGTGAAGAGCCAGCACGTGAACAAAAATTTGTTTGGGTGGGCCTAATTTTTTAAAAAATATATTAGTTGTCAAAGGACCTTTATTTATATGTGGCACTGAGAATCAAACCCAGTGCCTCACACATGCTAGGCAAGCACTCTACCACTGAGCCACAACCCCAGCCCTCAAGCCTAATCTTTGTCAAATAAGAAAGCTGTTAGGAGCAGTAAGCTAGGAAGCACTCTAAAAAGAGACATTTTATATTGTTGTATTATTCAGGATCTTATTAATTATTGGTAATCATACCTTATAATATAAATAAAATTAAATCGTGCAGAAAAATCCAAGCTTTCTTAAAATAATCTAAAGGAAAAAGACATTTTATATAAAGCATTCTGTAACATTAACTTGTATGTTGTTTACATTGTAAAGACTGCCCTTCAATCTTGCCACTTCAGCACCGTTTTTTCCTTAGATCCTGCTCATCCAAATTCCTCCTTTAGGATTCTAAAGTTTAAGAAGTTACCACAGTTGAAATACTCATTCCTTTATCAGTAGTTTAACAGCCAGTGGCAAATATCTCAGTCCAACAATAATTTCTAGTCTTATTCCCCTAAGCATATAGGGCTCAGAAAGCAGGAAAAAGGTAGATAAGTCCACATGACCTTTCAGACATAATTTCACTTTGCATTCCTTTTAATGTTTAACTTCCAAACACCATTGTTTTGCTGCAATAACATTCCTTCACAAGGAAGTTACCGAAGTTATGATAGGGATGAAAACGGGGTGAGTTCTATGTGACCTATTTTTTCTAAAAGAAAACTGTTTATATACTCCCATACATCAGCTGTCATAAAAATGAGCTAGTTTCTTTTCGATATTTTCTAATACAGTCAAGTTTCTCAAACTTGACACTTGGATTCTGTATTCATTTAGTCTATTATGTTCTTCTAAGTGATAAAATCTATAATCTCTAAGTTAAAAAAAATCAAAACAATTTGGTTTCTTTTCCTTATGTTTCCTGTAATAATAATGTATTTATAATTTATCTTTGGGAAGTATTCAGAGAAAAGCAAATTCTGCTTTGAGTTGTAAGATTATTTTCTTTTTAGGGAATCCTGATAGACCTGTGTTAACTAGTTACCAGTTTTTAATATTTGTGGGTAATGTTCTTTTGATAACAAGGAACATTAAATTAACATAACATTTAATAACTAAACTTGGTACTTTTAACCAAACAAAAGTCCTAATTTTTTAAAAATAATGACATCACATTCTTGGTTTGCTCTCTACATATATTCCTGAAAAGAATATAGGCCCATATTAAGACAGAAAATGATTCTTTCATCTTTATTTTATATTCTCATTTACTCACTTATTTGTAAGTTCACTGATGAAGAACATATTTTGATTATAACTTACCTTTACCTCTATCCATATTACACTGGAATTAAATCATTTAGAGAAAATATTTTTTCATTAATTTTACCAGATGCATCAATATTGTGATTTATTTTTAGTTATGTAATAAAACACTTTGGTGTAGATTTTAAAAAATGATAACCCCAGAATTAATGAAAATGGTCATTAAAAGATTTCTAGATTTTGCTTTTTTATAAAAATCAATATTTAGAATTTCACAGTGAAGAGGTCCTAATCCTCATACAACATGAAATTATATAAAAATAGAAGACATAGACATCTTTAAATCTTTAATCCTTTGATTAAGCAGCAAGCATATCACTCTTCCAGGCCAAACACTGCTTAAACAAAAAAGGAAAATGACGTGCAAAATATTTACAAAATATGCAAAGCACATAATAAAGACATCTCACTATATACATGTGTCATATTACTAATGAAGCTAAGATTTTCTACTGTGCGCTCTAATGTATGTAAATAAAATTACAGCACATCCCTCAGATACAGCACCTTGGCCCATGTTTGGGATAGAACAGATTTTAAATGAATCACAATATACCGAACAGCTGGACAGATGCTGGTGCTGACCAACTTGACTGACATATCCCACATACTGTGTACTGAAGGTCTACTGACAAGAGACAAGACAATAAAAGCTGTCAAGGTATAGTATGCACATATGCAAGACAATCTAAGTGCTTTTTAAAAATGTTCTAGATATTTTAAGATATATAACTGTCCCCCATGGCTTTTAAAGTAAAAATAAGTATAAATTCTATAATATTAAGAATTTAAAGTCAGTTAAATTTCATCTGGTTATTATCCAGGCCTCAACAATGATCCAATGAGAAAGAAAGACTTATCCTGCAAAATGTTTTGGTTATTCCAGAACACAGGGTGCTTAAGAAGAAACTGGTCTGAATGTGAAAAGAAAAAGGAACCGATGAAATTAAATCTATAGCTCTTTTAAGGCTGTAGAGCCAATGGAAGGGACTATTTTTCCAATATTTTGGGAATACATGACCTCTCAAAACATAAATTAAGACTTTTGAAGTTGACTATTTGGTGAAGTAGTTCTAAATGTGATGAGAATGTGAATGTGCAAACATTTAGTCTTATGTTCCACTACTATAGCAAATCTGTCCCTTTGCACAAGTCATGATTCCAATATGAAATCATTATATCAAAAATATTAGTAACACATTGTTGAAATACTATCACTTGTAAAATATTTTTTGTGGGTGCTTAATGATTATGTATTGAATTAAGATGACCTGAAGTCTTTTTCTTTATAAAAAGGGGTCTCAGTATTTAGTTAACAGCACAATTGTGACTATATACTAATACATCTTTAGATAATGCAGAACAAATTCTAAAAATTCATTTTATGAAATGTTGATGATTTAACCCTAAACCAAACCCATGAATAGGTTGGCTGCAAGGAATAAACAATTGTATCCAAATAGTACAATAGAGATTTATCAAGAAAACACCCTTCATATTAAATGCAAACTCTATTAATAAATATGTGGGTAATAACCTAAACACAAAAAGGGTAGTGGAAATAAATGCTTCCAAAACCATTGTCTCTACATAACTGACAAAATATAATTCTCTTCTAAAGACCTCAATTGTAGGCAACAACTAGTTAAAAGCAAATGGCATTTAGAAATATGAATTCTTTTCAAAATGAACTACATTTTCAAGGAACTTAAAGACATTATATTCCAATAAATTAAGTCCTCATTTGTATGTAAAATTATTATTCCAATTTAGTTATTACTACTGATAGATGACGGGGGTCAATGACCTTTAAATAAGGACTTTACACTAGGACCCTAAACTGTATGTTAAAGGGTTAGTAGATTCAGTACATTCTTTGTGATTTCATATAATTGCTTTGCAATTGATTAAATTGCTTTCTTTTAAAGGAATTAGAATTCCTTTAGAAAAAAAAGCAACACATTTTGAAAAAAGGGACATGCAGCTATAATTTCTTAAATATGAATTAAATGAACATATCAAAATCTGAAATGCAGGCTATTTATTCTTACACTCCTAACATAGGAAAATGTTTTTAAAAAATTAAATAAAAGAAAAAAAATGCCAAACGTCCTTAACTTAAGAAACTTAAGGAGTTTTCACAATTACTAAGTCAACATTCTTGTACTAAGAGCCTTGACTATGAAGAGGCAGGAATATAAAGAACCTCAATAAAATAAATACAGTAAAAACAAAACAAAAAGACCCTTGGTATATATAGAATACTTAAATCCTTTTTTTCTTTTCCTTTTATGAGATCACATTGGTGAACACATATTCTAGAAAGGAGGCTATCTGGAGGCTTTTTGTTTTATAACATATTATTGAACTGAAAAATTTCTTAGACATTCACTTATGCCAGCCCACTGCCTCAGAACTAGTTTGCAGCCTCAGCATCTAGGAAGGATTATTCTTTCCTCTTTTGCATCAGTCAGATGAGCACTGGTATAATGATGGGGTGAAAAGTTACTGTAGCACTGTCCAATTTAATTTTTAGTGCAGTGAGGACTGTGAATCTGTCTGAATTCCAATAAGTGATGGTGGCTGTTGACCACCAACCGTGGACAACACTGGTCTTGGGTTTAGACGGGGTGGCATAGAATTAGCAGGGCGAATGAGAGGTGGTGGAGGCTGATTTAGAGTTGGCCGGGGCTGGATGAACCGAGCCTGCTGCTGGAGTGGAGGAGGCTGCCGATGAAGAGCAGGGGCAGCAGGCAGTGTTGGACGAAGAAGTGGTGGAGGCTGGTTCAGAGTGGCAATGGGGGCTGTTGGTGTTGGAGTGGATGATGGGGCAGGAGGTGATGGACCCAGAGTCCGAGGAGCCTGTGGGGTCTGTGCCTAGAGGTGAGGAAACAAAAATACATGTATGAGATGTAAGTCCTAATGAACTTAATACAATATAGATTGGGCTGTCACAGGAAAAACAAAACAAATCAAAACAAAACAAAAACATAACACCAGTGTTTATTGGAAGCACAAGCTTCTTTTATTTTAAACAAAACAAAAAACAAAATAAAAAACAAAACAAAAAAAAGCAATGAGGCTACCAAACAGGCATCTTTATTAGTAAACAGCTTAACACTGGAAATAAAAATAAGACTATGGAAGAACAATACACTCTCCATTCTGCTAGGATCAGAAATTAGCATGTCATTATGACTTAAGAGTCACGAGAGATGCACCACTGAGTAAGTGTATTGTCAACCTTTCATGCTCATTTAGCTAATCCTCTGACAAATTAACCTTACAGAACACCACACAAAATGGTGACTCCTCAACTCATATTAGCTCAAATTCCAGACACAAACACACCTCCTCTTCTTCATCAGTGCTCTTCCCTGATGGCACATTAGAAGCACTTTTTGTCTCCTCCCCTAAAGTAGAAGCATCACCATTAGAAGCCTGGGTTCCTTGTTCTGCTTCCCACTCCTGCAATACCTCCTCTAAGTTAAACCGACGCCTGTAGTTTACAAAGAAGTTCTTCACTTGGCCAACAGTCTTGTTGCCAATTACATCTGCAATAGCTTGAAAATCTTTACCATATTTGCGGACACCTGGAAGGCAAAGTAAATAATACACCTGTGAAGGATCAGTAAGGAGAGCTGTGTGTACTATACATCATGCACACACCAAAGATACCAGCAATGAAATCCTATCTGATAAACTCTGCTCATTTTTCAATTCTGAGACAGAGGCTAAGATATCAGGGTCACAGATGAAAACTATCAATTAGGTCATTTCATTGAGCCAGCCACTTGCCTTCAACTGAACAATCAGAAACTTACCATTTTTTTACATACTCAGTTATTTTCTCCAATCCTCTCTTGAACTCTCAAATACAGTCCATTTATTGTAAAGCATTGAATTCTTTGTTCCATCCTCAATTCCACATTCATTTATTTCCCTAGTAGCCAGTCACCTAAATTTGAGCAACACCGTTTGTAAACAAAACTGGATGGGAATGAGCCATCTCTTTTATCCCCTCAATGGACTGAGTGAGTAGCCTTAGGGTTCCCCCACTATAATTTTGGTCTTAATTACTAACCCACCAGGATACCAACAAAAAGAAATAAGAGTTAAAATATAAAAGTAGAATTATCACAATCTGATGGATTAAAAAAAGGGAAGGTATTTTTGAGAATCAGTTGGATGTTAACTCATCTATAAGTTCTAAAGACTGCGTGAGGAGGATTCCTAACTATGCTTTATAGCTTAAATAAGGTTAGAGTAGTGCTCTTAGAAGCAATGTGTGTACTCTGCTATTTGAGAACTTTTCATTAAGAAAATTTCATTATAATGAAGGATAGTAATTGATTTATGAAGCTCAGATTATGCTATAGAATTTAAAATAGATACTAATTTGCTCTTAAAGGAATTCTAAAAGAAGTTTATGGACCCATTTCTAGAAACAGATGCACTTAGCTCAAAATATAAAATATCCCAGCAGAAAGGCTAGTTATATTCTTACTGATATCAATTAATATGAAATCCCCAATTACCTGAAAGCACCCATGTGACCTGATTCTGCTTTTAATTCTGCTCCTGGGGAACAAGCATCTCTGGCTATATTCAACTAGCCAGGCTTGATCCACAGGGAGTTCCTTTCTTTACCTTAGAGAATTTGGAGGGAAGTCTGCCATCATTTACCTATAATTATATCCTATTTTAAATGCAGAGCTTTGGGTTTGTAAGCTATGCTCCTTTGCTTTGTTCTCATATTATAACAAAAAATAATAATGACAGACATTGTTTGCAATATTTTATCAACACAAATGAATTTATTTCCCTTTAAATCTCCAATTTGAACTTCACAGATAAGAGGAATTCTAATAGTGACTAGGTTTACACTGAGGGCTTATTGGACAATAGATTCCAGATTACTTCACAGTAATAGTTACTATTAAGATATTCAAGTACTTCTCCACTACTTATACTTTAGAGAATAGCAGCTTGTAAAAGACCAAGTTTCTGTGCTATTTCTAATTTATAAATTTGAGAGCTGTGCTGAAGAATATCTATTGATCAGAAATCAGATACTGTGCTCCATCAATGTTCTAATTTTTATAAACAATACTTAATTTATATTCTAGAAATGGCCAAACCTGAATATGGGAGATTACAAATAAAAACTTTAAATAAGAAAAGGGTTAGATCTTAAGAATAACTCTTACTCTAAGTCTGCAGATATAATACCTATCTGGTTTACAAAATATATTCCAAATATTGCAAAATAAATTCCAAAGTTGTCTCTTCCTGACTATCTTCCTTTTGCTCTTTTACTTCTTAATTTTCCTTGCTCAATGGACCTTACCGTGTCACCAATATTGTCATATTTACTTTCCATAAGAGCTTTAGTTTTTTCTGGAGACCTGGATGTGAAGGACCTCTTCCAAGCCACCCAGGTGTGTTATTATTAACTCCTGTATATCTATCTAAAACCTAAGGACTCAGATCATACGCAGACCTCTGATTTGGCTGGATCCCAATCAATGTCCTGAGAACAAGCATGCACAAAAAATAATCCCTTTGACTTGCAGGATGGCTGGCTAGGGGCTGTAATAGCCAGAGCTCCTAGGCAGTCTTAGGACTGGAGCAGCCTCATCTGTTTATCTGTGTTCTGACACATTTTATAATTTTCATCTGTATACACGATGTGAAAAAGGTTGGAAGTACTGACCTATGGGATGCAAATCAGCACAAGCATTACTGCAATGCTAAGTCTGCAAAAAGTGTTCAGGAAATATGATTTTTTTCTATTAGGCTTTATTTTATATTTTTGCCCCTTAAACCACAATAGACATGATAATCTTCTTTATCACCTTCACACTCCTGATGACTCTGTTCAACAATATGTTTTTGCTAGAAAATAGATGTAATTCTTAAAGCTCTATACTGTGGTCCTCAACTAGGCAAAGTCTAGTGAAATGCCAACTTGCTGGAACTGCTTTTTGAGAAGAAATCCCCAATTAAGCTTGTAGAGGACACCTATCAGGGGTAGTGATGAGGAACAAATGACTTAACAACTACATATCACAGCTATCTGAGTTCCGATCTGTACCTAGGGACAAGTGGCCCATTCTTTTTTTCATAGTTTTTAATCAAAAAGCAATCTGATTGCTTTCTCAACAAGGGAGTTAAAGATGATGATTAAGTCAATATCTTCCTAAAGATATAAAAGGTCCGTACATGTGAACCATAATTGCTAATTAAAATTTTCAAGAGTCAGTGGAATATACATTTGGAGAAACATAAATTTCCCATGAAGAAAAAAAATGGTATTTAATCAAGTTTCTAAACATCACTTCAAAGTTAAAACAACCTGACTTCCTATGCTGGCAGATGATATTCTTTACTATTTAATATATATTTTTAAAGTTTTGGGAATTAACATAAAAATATTCTCATTAAGATATTTTGTTATTTTATGAAAGCTCACATTTTCCAACCAGTATTCTACATTACCCAACATAAAACATACATAATTTTTTTTACACTTGTTGTTTATACTTTTAGTTTGCCAAAGAAGATATTGTTATTAATAGTAAAGACTTTACCATAGCCATTATCTACATTATCTCAAATTTTAAATTAGTGGAGTTTGTCCATTCATGTTTTGAGCTTTGGCTAACAAGATGGTACCTTCAGGAACATTTATATGCTGTTTCCCAAAACTGGACATGGAATCTGAATTTGTCTTTTTATTTAGAAGTGACAGTATGGACAGCTGCTTTTGTATGTTTAAAAAGCTAAATTTGGACTTAAAAAAACACTCCACACAAAAAACCAAAGCATTAACTGCTGCAAGCTGCTTCTAGGTATTAAAATTTCAGGGAATTTTTTTTCTTCCTATGCCAAAATTTCTTAAATGAGCAAGTACTTAATATAGTTGGGAATTATAAATAATCCATAATTATCAATAATCCAGTTTTAAAACAACAGTAATAGAGTGACATCTAGAAAGTAGGATTGTGGTTCTTTTCAATCACTAAGACATAAATTTTAATCACTTGGGAACATGAGTTTCTTTGAACCTCCTGTAAATCTCTTCATATACTCAATGTTAAAGAAGGTAGAAAATATCAATAGCAGCAGAACAATGAATCCTGTATATAATTGAGAGTTGAAAGTCAAAATCATGTATTTTCTTTTCAATATCTATCTTTTCTCTTCTAGGTCTCTTCTATATATGTATTCTCACCTTCCCTTGTTATAAGTTAAATTTCATTGCAAAAATGCTGGAAATTTTGAATTGTTGATTGTTTGAAGTAAGTGCATCAGAGGGTTTACAGTTCTATTTTTTAACCTTCATTCTTGGGGGATTTGTTATAACAGAATTATCTAAAGCACAAGTGTGCCTTTCAAATGCAAAGGTATGAATCTCCTATTTCCACCTCCTTTTGATCATTCATGTTTACTATCCTTACATTATTATCAAATGTCAAACGAAAGAAGCAATTTCTAGATCTGCAACTTTATTTCTTCTTTAAAATGATCTAATGTATAAACTATAGAAAGAGAATGTAAATTTTACTGTAAACACACCACTTGAACATAGTTCTGTCACTTTCTGTTTTAAAAGAACTAAAAATTAAAATTGGGATCTTGATAAAATTAGAGCATAAAAATTTTAACAGGGGAGTGTGTATGTGTATACACACACATATGTGCATATCTACATATGTATATTTTTATTAGCACTAATAACCAGGAAATGAATACATTTAAGAGGTGGCCTAAAATAAAAAACGGCAAATATTGTTTAGCATGCTTCTACCCCCTTATAAACTTTAAAAGAGTGTTTTGTACTATAATTTAAGATATTTATATATAAACATTAATATATGAGACACATATTTATATATATGATACAAACAGGGATAATAGTTTACCATTAACAAAAATATGGGAAGATCATGATTGGTCTTGCTCTTATTAATTTGTTATAATGTAAAATTTAGATATCTAAGACTAGAACAGATGACAGAAATTGTATAACTATTCTTGATAGATACTTTAAATGAACTAAATTAGCAGTATTAATGATAACCCACTTGGGGATCTTTGAACAATGTTACTAAAATTATAGGCAGAACTAAAAAGAGCATAATAAATCAATAGATTACAGAAGTATAAGCAGACATTACTATTCAATCTAAGCTTGATTCCTCACTCCCCTTTCAATTAAGAAAAAAAGAAAGAGAAGCTTACTCAAATGGTTATCATTTACTTGACAAAAATCTAAGTAGATAGGTTAGGAAAGTAAAGTGATAAAGATATATTTAAACCCTAGGAAAGAAAATGAACTTAATGTGTTTGGTTTTAAAAGAGTTACAACAAGAGAGTTTATGTAACAGTTATAATTATTAATAGTAGCACTAGAGTCATTATTTCTTTCTCCAGGTCACTGTAAATAGACTACTATGAGCAAGAAAATAAAGCATTTTACAAATGAGTGTCAAGGCAGAATACATGTATAAAATGTCTTAAATATAAAATGGTCTACAAATTAAAATGTGTTAATATCAAAACAATTTATTATTGCGTTGCAAAAGTAATTAGTGCAAAACTACATAAAAATTTCTCATAAATAAAGATTAAAGAAAAATAATAAAAAAGAAAATACTGCCTGATAAATAGCTTCTTAACAGCAAACTACACATTAAGCTAGACACTGCAATTATATAACCACCAAGACTCAGGTACAGTCGATATTACTATATGAATTATACTACTTATAAGACATAATTCTGGGCATTATGTGGGAATATAAGACAAAATGGAACTTTTTAATTCACTCAAAACAACTATTTTGGACACAGATAGCTTCATATTGTTGTCTTTTAATATTTATTTTTTAGTTTTAGGTGGACACAATATCTTTATTTTATTTTTATGTGGTGATGAGGATCGAACCCAGTGCCCCACGCATACCTGGCGAGTGCACTACCACTTGAGCCACATCCCCAGCCCAGCTTCATATTGTTTTATCTCATGTAATAACAATAATAAAAACAAAATGCCCAAAATGAAGCAAAAATTCCAGAGTCAAAATAAATAAAAACGAGACATTAACACATTATTAAAAAAGATTCTTTGAAATTCTAAGATCAAGTATACTTCTATACAAATGGCTGCATTAGAATAATTTATTTAAAGGGTTACTTTTAAAATAAGCATTAATAATAGTGAATATGCCTGAATACAGAGGAAATGTTTGATTAAATGTGTTAATACTCTGTTCTTCCATTTTAATAAGCTATGTCCACATATATACACAAATCTTACCACTGCCCTTTCCTTGAATGAAGCTTTTCTTAATATCCAACCCAGCCGTAATTTTCAATGGACTCTACCACTTAAAGTAGTACTGTACAACAGAATCAAATCCTGAGTGCTGAACAGAGAAATATTAGCCCAGGTTTTCCTAGAAAATCCTATTCAGAAATTGCTTTTCACCAGGATAATTTCTTATATTACAGTACAGAATTAAGATGGAGGGAAACAGGGTTTACTTGAATAAAAGGAATGTCTATTCAAAATAACTATGCTAGAGCTGTCAGTCATAGTTATAAAGGAATATGAAGCAGCCATTGAAAATGCTCACTAATGTTTTAAACGAAATTTAAATTATCAGAGTCTAATTTTAAAGCAGCTATTGTTGAACATTATAAAGTGACTAAACCTTGTTCTGACTCATTCAGAAACTTAGTTCTATGAATGTGCTTGATACTCACGCACAGCTACCTGCTTTCAGAGCATCAAGTACTTCTCTTTATGGGCTAATTCTCACGTTCTCTATTCCAAACTGTAGAGTCATCTATTAGTCAATCTTTAATTACATTACTTTCATATCTGAATGATGCTTGCATGGCATTTCTACAAATATATTCTGCCATGAACATTTGGAAATATTTTAAAAAGTGTACTTGAATATTCGTTTCATTGGGACCCTTATAATAGTTAATCTAGGTAAAAATGCTATAGATACTCAACACAAAAAGGTTCAGCACCACCACCACCCAAAAAAAACCCCAAAATGTGTAGACCATACATACTTAAAATGACTCAATCAGAGTCTGCAGATAGTTCTGCAGATAGTTCATCTTAAAGAGGAAAAACAACAAAACACCCCACAATACTGAATAAAAATATACAATTTGCTCTTAGGTAATTCAAACATGAGAAAATACAAGTTTAGAGCATTTTAAATTTGCCCATAGGCATTCAGAACACAAAAGGTCTTTTGTCATATAACTCAAAAAAGTTATACATAGTACATTAAAATGTTATATGTATAATTTATACCTCTTCAGTCTCTTTTTAAAAATACAAATACTTAAAGCCAGGGTTCTAAGCATTCAGTGGTACATCTCTTAAGTAAGGTATGATAAACTGAAAGTTAAACATACAGTACCTGACACTTATAAAATAGAGACTACTACACAGAGTGATTAGAAAAACCAAAAACATTATAATTTATGCTTTTAATTATGAATCATCAATGAGTGATACAGGAAAAATGAGTCTAATTGCAAGAATACTGAAGCAGACACCGAGCCCACATGACTTGGTCATGCTTGTCACCAACATCGATTATTCAGTGCTGAGAATGCATTATGTGCTGTTCTGGACCCAAAATGTACATAGACTCAGTATGTCACATCCACAAATACAACACAGAATTCCTGGTCACCAAAACTTTGTGATTAATACAAAATCCATTTTCTTTCTTGATCCACTTCTAAAGGAAGGGAAGAACTATGATAGTCACCTTTCATGACAAGTTAAATAATTATTAACAACAGTAACTGCTTATCTTTAATATACCTTGCACTGCTAGAAGCTGCTCCTCTGTGGTCCAACGGGCATTAATTTTCTGATTTGACTACAAAATTAAAGAGAATTTCCTAATGAGGATATGAAGACAGACATTTTTTCAAAGTGCTTATTTTTTTTTAACTTTTCACCAAATCACAGACATGAGAGTACTAAAACTGATTTATGAAGACTCCATTTTTAGAAGGATTAAAATTTATACTGAGTTACTTTTTACCCACACAGAAAGGTAATGAAAGGGAAATGTACAAATCTGGAATGTACAACATTAACATTTATGCTCTATATCAAAGATATTGAAGCCTGAGAAAACCTATTAGTTGTCAATTTTCCAACTACAATGTTCCTATCATTCATTACAAATGTTAATTTTAACCTTGTTTTTAACATTTAAGATATTTTATTTTCTTTAGAAAAGATCTGTGACTCTTAAAATTTCTTCCCTTCAAATTTATATTAAATCTAGCCTTTCTCACCCTAAAACAGTGTTACAAATCAGCACAGAATGTAGAATAGGCCTAAGTCCTAAAATATTTTTTTTAATTTCTAAAGAAAGTGACGGGCTGAGAAGAATGGATCTTTTTCTCCCCAAATCTTCCAATGTTCCTCCCCAATTTTTTGTTTAAAAAATTCTAGAATTTTGATATTGTAATATCAATCAGATTTCACTAGTATATATCCACTGACCAGTAATATCAAGGACCTTTGGCGGTAGATAAAGGAACTTTTTGCAAAAATAAAGTGACTCTATGTAACACCTTGACATGAACAAGAAAAAGGGAAACTGGAAGGATTAGAAATTGAGATGGATTTTAGGAAAGAAGTTTCTGAAAGGAAAACAGAAGGTATTCCATGTATAGGGAACAATAGAATCTATCAGGAAAAAGTGATAAATAAGCCCAGAAAGTTGGTAGTATTTTACTAAACTAAAATGTATTAAGGGTCACTAATCATAGAAAAAATGGCAAAAAACCAAGGGTGATAAGCTTGCACTAAATTTAATAAACAATGGTTGTGTTTTTGATGGTAAGAGTATATGTGAGAAGAGTATGATTTTATCCATAATAAGATTTTAACCCTGGAAAGCTGGAAGAAGAGCTATGCTGTTAAGAATCTAGAAGTCAAGAAATGTAGATTTGGGAGATGTAGAAAGGTAAAGCAAAGATGCATTTAATTTGGGATATGCTGAAAATGAGATACTAGGATAGGACACTCAGGGAGAGCTCAGGTGCCCACTTGAGGGTAAAATAAGTTTATTCCAATAAATTTTTGAAGGGTCTGGAAAATTTTCATAGGGAAAATAATGGAGTTATACCTTACTCAGGACTTACTTATTGGGCTTCTTTTTAAAAACTGTGGCATCCCCATTGCCAAATTACTCTTGAAATGTGCTTATTAGTGTAGCCACTGATAGGCACACGATCTCTCAATAGATCCATACAATCAGGTACTTCTCTCCAGCACTGAAATGCACCACTAGTTTTTCAGCTGAACCCCAAATACAACTGCCAATCTGTATAATTATATGTATGTCTGTGTATATTTTATATATATTTAAATACTAGAATCTCTCTCAGTTCAAAGAGTCATGTAGAAGCTAAAACAGATTGAAGGAGATGGATTCATAATTCTCAATTCATGAATGTTCACTCTGGGGCAGATACTCAATAAATGGGAATCAGGCAGAATTGCAGCAATACTATACTTGCTATGGCTAAACATTCTGTTTCTCTCTCTTAAATGGCTGAACGTCTATCCAGTTGAATTTGAATCATTTAAATGCACATAGGATGCAATTTTAACATAGTTAAATGGTGAGATTCTATCTTCAAGGGAGGAGGAAAAAAAGGAATTTTGAGGAGAAACCCTGGACAATGCCTACATTTATGTAGAGAAAGGAAAATCATGCTGAGAAGGGAACATAGTAGCTATAAAAGAGAACATAATCTCTCAAAAGTTAAGGGAAGACAGGTCCAGTGGCACATGCCTATAATCCCAGTGACTAGGGAGGCTGAGGTAGGAAGATCACAAGTTCTAGGCTAGTCTTAGCAACTTAGTGAGACCCCATTTCAAAGTGAAAAATAAAAAGGACTGGGGATGTACCTCAATGATTAAAAAAAAAAAAAAATGCCCCTGGTTCAAAAAACAAAAAGAAAAAAAACACCTGGAGGGTAAAAAAAGAAAAAAAAGTTACAGAACAAAGAGAAAGATGGGTAGTCACCTAAAACAAGAGCTCAGGAAAAGGTATGAAGAATAAAAAGTTTTGTCTTCAGTGACAATGTCAACCTTTAAGAAGCAGTTTTGTTGGAAAAATGTAGGAGGAAAGAGCTGAAACCAGATGGGATTAAATAGTTACTATATGACAAAATGGAAGCAGTAAAAAGAGAAGGAAGGAGAAATAGGGTCAAAAATTTTAAATAGACAGGATTCTTGTTAAGTTATTCATTTTTATAGTCTATTTTAAAGCCATTTACACTTTAGTAAAGATTTAATTTAGAAAAAGGACAATTCGAACATAACTAGGAATCTAAAACTGTGTTGATATCAAAATTAGCTGGGTGGTACCACAGACTATATCCTTCTACACCAAACCCTGATCTGAAATGTTGTTATTTAAAAAATAATAATATACAACAATACAATCTAATCATTGTATGAAAGATACTTCTAGAACAAACAATTCATGACTTCCTTAGTGAATTCAGCATTCTTACTGCATCCTTTCCCCAATAAATCAATTTGCCTTCAGGTATTTCTCACTTTTGTCAGCAGTATTATATGTATGCATGTGTATATTATATATATATATAAAGTCTGAAGAGCTGGAAATGATTACCAAGTTAAACCTTCTACTCAATGCTGAAAATTCTATCCAACATCCATAATAAAAGGGTTACCCACCTTTGCAAGAAAACATTCATGGATGGGAAATTTATAGCTTCAAAAAGCACTCATTTTTCCAGTTATATTATTCTTTCTTCTTGGATTAGTCTCCTTGTCTCCATCTACCTACCTCCATCCAAAACAAATCAAAGCATAACAAAAATTGCTACCTCTACCCCTAATATGCTCACAAACTTGAGGAGATATAAATTTATTTCCTACTTTGCAGTGTTATCATTTGCTTCCATTCCTATAACTAATACCCAACTCTATTCCAACCCTTTTACCATTCATCACTTATATACTTAGTATTTTAGTAGCTATCAAATATCTCCTGCATAAAACTGCATAACATAATATTTGAGGATAATTTTCATACAATTAAAAAATAAATACATCCTCCTATACTGAAGAAATAACAGGGTTTTTTCATTTGACTTAATTTGCTTCTTTTTTGCAAGGACTTCTGCACTTTGCCTCTTGCCCACTGATCTCTATCACAAAGAAGTCCTCACTCAACCTCATTAATATCTCACTCATATGGTTTTCATTATTCCTCCACATCCAAGTTTGCCTTCCTAAGTAGACAATACGATTCTTGAGAGAAGATTGTTTTATACTTCTGCTGAATTCCATACAGCAATTAGCCCAATAATGAGTTCATAGGAAGTGAATACTATACAGAAATATTTGAAATACCTGTTGATTGGTTTGTAAGAGTGCTTTTTATTTCCAGACTGTATATATATTTTGAATGTATTATTCAACACCTCATCATTATTCCTATCATTCTCTCTGCCTGAAATGTCCTCTTCTCCATTTTATGTGACAGTAAAACCTCCACTTATCTTTCAAGCCTCAGATGAAACATTCCTCCTTAAGGAAGTCTTTCCTGATTATCCTAGCCAGAATGAATAATGAATAATGCTGCTATTTTCCTGTAGCACTTTGTTTATAAATCTACCGTATAACTTTTATCAGTTTGTCTTACAACATCTATACGTAAGTCCTTTTTTAATAAAAGGTGAAAAAAAATCACCTCATTTTGTCCTTTTTCCTACCCTCCCCCACCATACTTCTCAGAGTGCTTCACACCATTGTGCCTTACATCAGATTATCAATAAACACTTGTGGAAGCAAATGGATTTTCTTTCCCTAAATGAAAATATCAAATAAAGCCAAATTAACAAGTAAAGCTCCTTAGTAATTATGAGGTAATTCTTTTAATGACCTATTATAATTATTCTGAAGGTTATTAGCATTCTCTGATTAGGTAAAATCTAACCTAAAGGTAACAGGATGGATGATAGGATTCTAAAGGTCTTTACTGTGATTATGAATCTAATATTTTGAAAAATATCCATTCAAGTTGCCCTCCTCCTGAAAGGAACAGGAAAATATGATAAATATAAATATACCCTGGGGACTTTCAATATAACAAAACATATAATATTATATATACTATTAAATCATAAGTTCAATAAGTCACCCCAAATACTTAAATTTCAGTGTATGAATGACTAAGTGATTTTATCGTGATCATTATTTTTATAACAAGATTTTAGAAAATGCTTGATAAAATTTAACTCAATTATTAAACTGTGAGAATCAAATAAGCAATTTTGCTCTTCTATGAAAGTGACAGCATAATATATGCTAATCAAGGACGAAGCAGGACTTTAAAAAATCTAAAATACAGTCAAGCATTCCAATGATTTACTACTTGTGTGACCTTGAGTAAGTCAGTTAAACTTTCTGAGTCCAGTTTCCTCATGTAAAATAATAATACCTGCTTTACCTACTTGTATGAATTTCTGTGAAATCAAGGAGGTAGCAGGCAGGTAGGATAAAATACTACTGTACTTGCAAATCTTACTTTATATAATTTTAATAACTGAGATGGTCCTATAATTTTATGATATTTTGGAATTAAGACTAACTTTTCATTAAAAATAGGTAGACTTTTTCTGTAATGTTACTACGCATGGTATATTCTTATGAGAAAAATGTTAATTATTCCATTATTTTATTTAATGACTATAAGTTATTTGGTTTTTTCTTTCTTTTTCAGGCAATTTTGGTAAGATATTTTCCAACAAAGTTCTATGTTTTAATTTTTCAAACTTATTGGCACAAAGTTCTTCCTGGTATTCCCATAATGTTTTTAGTATCTGTTGTATTTTAATTTTATTTTGAAATTATGGGAACTTTAATCTTTTCACTTTTATGAATTTAAACTCATGCTTAAACAAAAAACTAAACATTTCAATACAAAATTTAAAATAATTTTTACTGTCATAATATAGCAAAATAAAGCACTATTTTTTTTTATATTATACTGGCCTTACATAAATAAATGCTACTAGAATGTTTGTCAGTTTACTCTGGGTTTAGAACATATTTTTCATAACCTAACCTTGAAAGAGATTATTAAAAACAACAACATTTTTTTTTTAATAAGTCTTCCTTTCTGGAAGAATAATTCTAATGACTAAGATGCCACACATACATTATTTCTGAAGCACTATTGTTTTTTTTTTTAGTTGTAGTTGGACACAATACGTTTATTTTATTTATTTACTTTTATGTGGTGCTAAGGCTCGAACCCAGGACCTCACATGTGCTAGGCGAGCGTTCTACCGCTGAGCCACAACCCCAGCCCCTGAAGCACTATTCTTTTGTCTTCCCACAGCCCCTCACACATATTTCATCTGTAGATAGCTCAGTCAGCCTGTGATTTGGAAGGCGGGAAAAGAGTCCCATTATTAGGACCAAATAAGATTATTTGATTATCACATACACAGGAAGGCAAATCCAGGATATGAAGCATAACATAAAGAGTATTAAAAAAGAAAAAATATTTTATATAAGTAGAAACTTCTATAAAAAGACTTGACTGGTTCTTACAGGGCATTTAAGGAGTCCTATAAATACCACAAATACCAAAAAACATTTAGGTTTCAATTAAAATACAAGGCACAAAAATAATGGTTGATCTATATCTTTTTAGATATTTTTATTTTCAGGGACATAAGTACAAGAATTTAAATCCACATAGGAAAATCCTCATCTGAACTGAAAGACAAATGTCTGAAAATAAAAATCTGTTGAAATGAACTCCTTTTCTTATGATTTATTCTTGCTGTGTTACCAATTCAAATAGGCAGTAAAGGGCTTTGAGAAAACACTGCATAGTCCCAGAAATATATCAGCTTGTTTACGGATGACCTTCTAGTTTCACATACACTGTGCTTGCTCCTATAGCTATTTTCCCTAAGTATTTTCTCTATATGGATTGCTAAGGGCAGTAATAATTTAAATAAAAAAGCATTAGCCAAACCTCAAAATATCAACTACCTAAATGAAAAAATATATGACAAATTATCCATATTAGGAAACCTTCAGAGTAGTTACCAACACAGGTCACCAAAACAGTACTTAAACAATGACTGGATAACTGAAAGAATAAGCTTCACTATGTTTAATCACATGTATTTTTCAATATCATACCTCAGGAGGTTTGAATTCTTCAATTCCACCTTCCATTTTCTGTTTAAGTGCACTGTTTACTTGCTTAGCATTCTGAACCTTCAACAAATAACCCAAAATATAAATCAGATCATGTACTTAGGTAAATTTTTGAATACTCAAACAAATGACAAGGATATATATCAAAACTCTGAAATTTTATTTCAGGAGAATAAATATACTTATCACACTTAGGCTACTTATACTGCTCATTTAACTAATTAATACACACATCAACTAATATACACATTTAATAGACTTGAAACTAGATTTAAATATTTTTAAATATCATAAATCATAGTCTCTGAATACCTTTTTAACAATGTCTCTTATAACCAAAGGCAACCAATGTTTAGGGATTCATTTCCATCAAAAGTTCTCATTACCGCAGTGTTCTGACCAAATAACGATTATTCTAGTAAGAATAATGATGGTGACTAATATTAGGTATTTATGTATAAAAAAATCACTCTCAGTACTCTGGACAAAAAAAAATCATTTAATTTTTCACAACCTCCCTGTGAGAGAAGCACTATCTGCTATAACTCAACATATGCAATAAAAAATCACAGGTCTTATGGGGAAAAACAGGTGGGGATACAGCACTCAAAAACTTCAGTAATGACAAACAGGAAAAGAAAAAAACCTAACAAAAATGAGAGCACAGTTATATACATTCTAAATTATTAAGAAATTCATAAGTATGAGGCCAAGGAATTAATTGTAGAACATTAGCGTAGCATGGTTAAGGTCCTGGGTTTGATCCCTAGCACTTGCTACCGCTGCCCCCAGCTTGTAAGTTACTATGAAGCAGAAGAAAGGCTATTTGAAATCAGATCAAAGTTTTAACACTAGATGTATATGGTTCATAACACACAGTGAATTGAAGTAGCTGGTACATGTCTGAGGTATGTGTTTTCTCAGGTCAGCTGGGTGCACTTTTTGCTGACAAACTCATACTTGAGCGAACACAATTCATGTTATGTTTAAATTGTTCCCCAGTATATCAAGTGCAATGGAACAAATGAAAGCTTTCAAAACAAGAGTTAGTGTAGAACTGATTCTATTTCTATTACAACCATTTGGAGATGAAGAATAAAGGGCACAGAGAGGTTAAGAAACTCCTAACACCATAAATATAGGACGTACAATCTGAATTTAAACCATGCCAAGTTTTAAATAACTATTCTACTGGCAATACTGTTATTTGCCATTTAGAACATTAAGGGTCAGGACTGGTTACTTTAATCCTCTTTTATTTTTTTTTTTAATTTCCCCAGTGTGGACAACCAAATGATTTATAAAAGAATTTGTGAATTTTTTTTTCACTAGAGATCTTAAATACAGCTAAAATATAAATATCTATGATGGTTCAAGGACAATTAATTGGCTACGTTAGACAGACATATAGATGTAAAATGTAAAGTGTCCCTGTTCTCAAGGATTTCATAGATTTGTGGGAAGATAAATAAATATAAAAATGTGATAAATGCTAAAACGCCTAACGTAGACTTGGAGAGAAAAAACAGAGAAGAAAGAAGTAGATGTGCATGTTTGTGTTGTTGGATGGAGGGTGGTAGGGAAGATCAGGGAAAATGTTCAAGAGAAGCTGACACCTAAGGAGTTTTAAAAGATTAGCAAGAATTAAGCAGGCAGACAAGGTTGGGGGAGGGAATGCATTCAAGGCAGAAAAGCATTTAGGAAGACAAAAAGCCCAAGGGCTTGGGTAATAAATAAAGCTGAGGCCAGATTATAGAATTTGAATTTTGCCTAAAGAATGAAGGAAAACCATAGGATTTTTAAGTAAGGGAACAACATGACCACATTTGTCTCTTAGAAAGACACTTCTGGTAATAATATGGAGAAGTGAATGTGGTAAAGAGGATGGATTAACTTAACAATCTAAGTGAGAAATATTAATTAAGAAAGCTTTCATTAAAACAGAAGGTATGAAGGAATGATCATGGCAGTACACAAGGTCGGATAAAGAAATAACCCAGAAACAATTAAGATCTCTTTTGTAAACACTCGATTGTGGAGAATTAGGGGGAATCAAGGACAACTAGTTAGCTGAGTGAGTGTATATGGCACTCAACACACAAAGAGAGAGAGAGAGAGAGAGCACAGATAACTAGGTTAGTTGTGGAAATCAGTCTGGGCAATGTAAAAGTAGTAATAACTTATGAAATTATTAATGTAAACTTTTACTATGTCACACTAATGAATAACCAAGGAAGCTTAAAAGCTGAAACCAAAGTACCTTTATTAAAAAAACAAAAACAACAACAAAAAACTGTAAGAGGATGGGTAGCTCAGTAGGGAAAATGGTTGCCTAGCATGCATAAGGCCCTGTGTTCAATCCTCAGCAACACACACGCACAAATAATCCATATGTATAGCAGTAGTACTGAGGATGAAATACAAGCACAGGTACCAGTATATTTTATTCCTCCGTTTTCTTGAGAACTTTGAAAATATTATAGGTAAAGTGTTTTTGGAGTTTTCTAAAAAGGAGAACTGTGATTTGGAGGATGGGGAATCCTGCAAAGATGCATGGTTTGACTAAAGACTAAGCACTCCTCAAAGACATATTCAAGAAACTCAAGAGAGACCAGTGTCATAAGTCAAGGGAAAGAAATTCCAAGAAGAAAGGAGTGGTTGATAATGTCAAACATTACTGAGTAGTCAAGGGAGATAAGAACCAATAAGGAAGCATTAGCTCTGACAATTCTTTCATAAATGATCTTAAGATAGTCTTCAGTGGCACAACTACAATGGGATATGAGACAAAAACTAAATTGGAAAGGGTCAGAAAATAACTGGTGGTAAGAAAACTGAAGTAATTTTTTTGTATATATTCATTCAGGAAGTTTGCTAAGGAAAGAGAAACAGGATAACTAGGGTCAAGGGATAAAGAAGTCTGAAAATGTTGGAGAATCTTAGTCCTACGCTAAACAGTTACAAAGTTCTTATATTAAGTGTGAAGAGTTATATTAATTTCTATTTTATCAGTGATATTATACATTTACTTCAGAATTTCAATGTTTTTAAACTACTAATAAATGTCTTAATATTGCATAATATGAAAAGATAATGCATCAATTTTTCTAAAGATCAAGAGTATGCTAAATTCACAGTGATAACATAGGGATGCATCTTGTAATTCCTAGAACCAGTAGAAAGAAAGAAAGGGGGGGGGGGGAGGGGGGGGGGGGGGGGGGGGGGGGGGGGGGGGGGGAGGGAGAGAGCACACACAGGTGGAGCGAGCTGAAAAATGTAAATATGACATGACCATGGTACACCTCTTCTTAAAGTCAATCAGTTGTTTCCTAACTCAGGATGAATTTCAAATTTCTTAATATTGCCTTTTGATAAATCAGTGTCTACTATTACCTGCAAAAGACAAGTAGAAATTAATGATAAGCTTTATAACTGACAACTGTGTGTGTTGCATGGAGTTAAAAAGCAGACAGAAAGAATAAACAAGAGATAAGTTGTCAGACATGAGGTGATAAGGTCAAACAAGGTATAGTATAAATGAGAGCACCGATTGAAAAGAAATTTCAACGATAAAACTCATATAGCTGGGTTACCCCTTGGGATTATGTGTGTTGGGGGAGAGATAATGACAGAAAATGAGGCAAAGAAGTTCTGATGAGGTAGGCGTGGTGGCACATATGCCTTAATGTAATCCCCTCCTGTGACTCTAAGACAGGAGGATCAAGTTTAAGCAAGACCCTTAGTAACTTAATAAGACCCTGTCATGAATTGGGGGTATGTATGTATACTCAGTGGTAAAGTGCCTCAGTACTCCCCCACCCTGCCTAAAAAAGATGATTCTGGTATTTCAACAGAGAGGGAAGAGGAAAAAAAAGAAATCTTTAGGTGGAAGATCTGGCAGGCAGCTGTGCTACAGCTATTGAGCTTGGGAGAAAAGTCACAGCTTGAAAAATAGATTCAGAAGTCACTGGCATGTAGGGTACAGGGCTGGATGATATGAAGTAAGAAATGACAGATTTATAAGTACATCTAGATTTAAGGGATAAAGAAAAATAACAATGAAAACCAAAAAACAAAAGAAGCCGGAGAAAGGCCAGAAATAGCAACAACTATTCATTGAGGACTTATTATGTTAGGCACTGCTTTTAAGCACTTATCATACATAATCTTTAAATAATCTTGTTTAATTCCTTCCAATCACAATATTTTAATTCTCATTTTCAGATGAGAGAAATGAAGCTGAGAGAAATTAAACAGCTCCCCTAAGGTTATACATGTAGAAAATGGTGTAGCCTAGATTTAGAACTTATAGGTTCCCTGATTCTAGGTCCTGCCTCTTAATCACCTGATTATGATGATATTTTTATTACAAGACTACTGATAATGATGAAAATGGCAGTCATCACTGAATATTCAAAATGTGCCAAACACTGCTGAACAATATATATTACAAACAATTCTCAATAAACTGCATGAGAATTTTGATTATCTTCAATTTCATACACAGAAAATTAAAGCTTAGCAAGGTAATACAGTCTGCCCAAGATCACAGAGCTAACAAGTAATAATGCTGGGATTCAAATCCAGAAATGGAAGACTTATCTTCCACAAATTTTAAAGAATGAAATTGGGTTGGAGTATAGCTCAGTGGAAGAATACTTGCCTAGCATGCTGGAGGACATGGGTTTGATGCCCAGAACCCAAAACCAAGAAACTTATATAAATGGGTGCTAAGAAAATCTGCAAGAGTACAGTACAACCTAGGTAAAAAGTAGATAAGCAAAATGGACAGAATCATTAAATATACTATTTTTATAAAACTACCTGACGTTTCAGAGAGATCAACTCCATGTCCAGTTGCCTCAGAATGGTGTTGGCTGCATTGGGACTACAAGAAACAGCTACCACATCTTCCTGGGTTAAATACATGCCCTTAGGTGGACGGCACTTAGAGCGCTGAGAATGATGGCGATGTTGTAAACTCTGATATTCTCTCCTTCCAAGTCCAATCTTGCTAGTTTGGACAGGTTGTTCAGTGTTTCCCTAAGAGAATAAAGATAACAGTAACAGGTCATTTGGTTTTTATAAATATATGAGCTGAAAACAGTTTCCAGTAGAAGTATTTGCTTCACTAAGTATACCTGAAAAATACTTCTAACTAATTATATTATTATGTACAAGTTCAAACCTATATACAGTACTCATCAACTGGAGGATAAGGGAAAGACTATGACACGATGCATCCTTGATTATTTCACTCAATCAAATGCTTAGTTTCTAGGCCCAGAAGACTACAAAAAAATTAAAAAATAAGTTTTTAACTCTAAACTATTCCTACTGCTTCAAGATTGGATATATTTTCCCTAAGCAACAGAGGGGGAAAAATAAAAACAAAAACAAAATCAAACTATAATTTACTAAATACAAACTTTTTCAAAAAGTATAAATAAGAAAAAAAAAAGAGGTAACTTAGGAATTCTGACATGCAGATTAGGCAGCTGGAAAAGATGTAACATTTCATCTTCACTTTAAAGTTGTTGAGCTGAGCATGGTGGCACATGCCAATAATCCCAGAGACTCTAGAGGCTTAGGCAGGAGAATTGCAAGTTTGAGGCCAGCCTCAGCAACTCGGCGAGACCCTAAGTAACTTAGTGAGAACTTTTCTCAAGATAAATTAAAAAAAAAGGGCTGGGGATAGGGCTCAGTGGTAAAGCTACCCTGGGTTCAATCCCTGGTAATCAATCAATCAATCAAAAGAGAAGTATACCTCTAAAGGTTAAAATTATCTTAACCTTAACAATAATTCTTAAGTTTCAAATCTGTGAATAAAATATCAGTTTATACCTCAGAAAGGAAGAATTAAACTCAGTTCAGGAAAGCTATTCTAATAATGATGACCATGTTGTCTTAAGCAGTATTTCACTATTACCTGCAAAATTCTTAAAGTGTGATAGAAAAATACAATGGTATTCTGTGCTTCTGGGAGGGGAATCCATTTTTTTTTTTTAATGTGTCTATTACATGGAATTTTATTTACTGACTAGATTCAATAATCCAGTTCTTTAGGTATTAACTAAAATTCATAAAACCATTGTATAATGAAACATAGTTTTGCTTTATTTCTTAAAACTCAAAGTAATACATGACAGATTTGATATTCAGAAAATTCTTTCCAACATAACACCCCTTAAACTGCAGGGTCAAGTATTTTTTAAAAATCGTTTAAAATTCGTCTCTGAGCTGGTAGGGAGGTGAGGAAATTCCTTAGCGGCCAGAAATGATGAGAAAGCAAGAATCCAGAGAGATAAGCAAATATGCAGGAACTAGCATTTGCCTAAAGCCCAGGCTTCAAAGAACAACCAGTGCAGGGCATGAGAGACAAAGCCAGAACACTGAAAGGGGAATATCATCATTGTGTAAAGTAGAAAAAATACCCCTGCTCTGCAGAAGGAGAGGAGATTAAAGGCAGTCATGCCTATCTCACCCTTGGCTGAGTAAAAAAGAAAGCAATATTAAAAAGTCTCCCTTGAGAATCCCTAACTACAGGCCTCCCTTCAGGCAGATTTGGGAACTAAATTTATATGATCTTCTACCTGAAAAGTCTCAAATCAAAAATTTAAAGTGTTTCAGGTTGGTAGTGCTTATAGACACTAAGCAGAAACAACCACAGGCCTGCCTTCAGGCAGGTTTGGGGCCTAAGTTTATAAAATCTTCTAGCCTGAAAAGCCCCAAATCAAACATAGTTTAAAGTACCTCAGATTGGTAGTGCCTATAGAAACTTAGCAGAAACAAATGCAAATCCTCTCTATAAGAATACATTTTAAATTCAAGTCTCAGACATGTGTTTACAACCCAGAAATCCTCACTAAATAAACTCTAAAGGAAGGATGTATTTCAGGAAAAAAGGGAAATTATCTTAAAAGAAAGGACTAAGATTCAAGAAAGAATGATAAGCAAATAAAACTTAACACATAGGTAAATCTAAACAGTGGCTATATGTTTAATTTGAGGCATTTAAAAACTAAGATGTGACTAACATGATGGATATAAATCAGGAGGCTAGTGGTTAAGAGTGCTTTGTATTAATCAAAAAGCCATTAACAACATACCAATATTAGATTTTAAGTTAAACATGCAGGATAAAGTCTCTAAGAGTAAATAGCAAAAATAAAATTTAGAAACACCCAAACTAGTAGAAAGTAGAATAGAATAAAAAACTAGTAGAATAGAATTAAAAAAACAAATTCTTAATCCCGAAAAATAGACCATGAAGCACAACCAGAAAACTAGAAAAAGTCAGAATGTAAAAATAAGAAAAAACAAAAATATAAACATTAATGATCGTGATTAATGAAAATGTAAGTAGGCTTACACTCTTTAAGGCAAGATTTAAAACAAGAAATGAAAGATACTACATATTGATAAAAGGCTCAATTCAGCATCAAGTACATAAATTCTAGATTCAGATACACCTAATACAACAGCTTCAAAATATAAAAAAGTATTCTCAATAATTGATTAAACAAATAACAGATTAGAAGAATAGACAAAAATAGTCAAACTAGCAGGACAGGCAAGCAATAAGAATACAGAGTTCAACCACAAAATAGACAAGCTTCACTTAATACATACATGTAACTTATACCAATGGAGTATAGAATATTCTTAAGAACACATGGAAAAATATTTTTGAAAATTGCATATTCTTATCTTGGTTTAAAACATGTGAGCAAACTCTTCAACATTCCTGCCACTGAGAAGCAGGGATTTATGACCCCTCCCTTGTGTCTGGGAAAACTCTGATGATTCATCTATAGGCAACAGAATGCAGTAGAGGTGACACCGAGTAATTTCCAAGGCTGGGCAAGCTGGGTAGCCACACAGTGCTTTAGGGATTAATTGCCACCATTCCGTTAAGAAGCCAAACAGACACTCAAAGACGACCAGTTTACAGAGTCCACATGAACTGTTCCAACCAATAGCTACCATCAACTATTAGCAATGGGAATGAGCCAAAACATCCTACTTGATGTAGAAATATAAAAATCATTCTTTCTAAAATCAAGACTAAAAACAAATAACATTTACTCAGTATTACACTGGTGATTTTAACCAGTAAAAGAAATAAGGATAATGACTGCAAAGAAAAAAAAATTGCTATTATTTTCAAGTAACATAAATCTCTACATAGGGAATCTAAAATAATCCATAAGTATATTATAAAAGGTTTCTTTTCTCCTATTTCTATACATAGTCAATGCAACATCTAGTAAGGCTGTCCTAGGGATGTGACAAACTTGAAGCACAAGGGCCCAAAAATAGCTAAGGAACTTATTACTTAAAAAGAAAAACCGGGCTGGGGCTGTAGCTCAGCGGCAAAGTGCTCACCTAGCATGTGCGAGGCCCTGGGTTCAATCCTCAGCACCACATAAATAAAGATATTGTGTACAACTATAACTAAAAAATAAATGTTTGAAAAAAAAAAAAGAAAAACCAAGTAGTGGAACTTTCTGATAGCTATCAAGATTCAAAACAGTGGGCTGGAGATGTGGCTCAAGCGGTAACGCGCTCGCCTGGCATGCACGGGGCGCTGGGTTCGATCCTCAGCACCACATAAAAATAAAATAAAGATGTTGTGTCCACCGAAAACTGAAAAAAATAAATATTAAAAAACTCTCTCTCCTCTCTCTCTCTCTTAAAAAAAAAAAAAAAGATTCAAAAAAGTAAACTATAGTGAGTGGGACAATGTAGACTTGACAAGGGATATTTAACTGACAAGAGGAGTACAACACAGAGTCATGCATATATAGAAGCCTCATATATGACATATATGATAAAGCTTGTATTGCAGACTAGCTGAAAAAGATAGAATCACTTCCATATTAAAAATAATAATAATGGATCTCTACCTTACATAATTTACTATTAGCTTAAGAACTTAAATGCAACAAGGAAAACTTTCAAAACAATACAAAAGAATATAGAAATTTGAAACTTGACATGCTTTTGATAAAACAGTTGTTTATCTAAGTCTGTAGAGAATAAAAAGATCAAATACAAACTGCTAAATGATCTTTGCAATACATTAACTAAAAGGACTGATATCCAGAATGTGCAATAATTCATATTTTCTGTCTTTAAGACAAAAAAGAAAAACATCCAATACAGTAGTAAAAATACAAAAAGTACTTAAAAATGCATAATAGCCAATAAACAAATGGAAAAATGTTCAGCCTCATTAATTATCTGATAAATGAGAGTCCAATGAGATAAATCTCTTATTGCCAGATTTGTAACATTTTAAATCTGATCAAATCAAGTATGGGCAAGGAAACAAACAATGAGTGCTCTCACAGTTCAATGAAGTATTATCAAATATGGAAAATATTTTGTCATTATCTAGGAAAACCAGATATGGCTATGCCCTAAAAGAGAGTAATCACACTTCTAACAATCCTGGGGCACTTTAGGACAGCTGTTATCCCTTACTCTTGCCCACTCCATGACAATGGTGCCCTATGATCACTGTGAGAACAAAATATACCTCCATAATTTCTAAATGCTTCTAATGGGGGCAATACTAAACCTTGATGAAAATTACTATCCCAAAGGATCTCTTATACATGTGCAGTCAGGACTTTTTTCTTTTTGTAGTAGTGAGGATTGAACCCAGAGACATTTTACTACTTAGCTACACACCCAGCCCTTTCTTTGTTTTATTTTGAGACAGAGTCTCACTAAGTTGCCCAGGCTGGAAACTTGTGATCCTTTTGTCTCAGCCTTCTTAGTTGCTAGGATTACATATGTGTACCACCACGCCTGGCCAAGGACATATTCCTATTAGCATTACTCATACTAACAACTGGAAATGATGCCCATCATTTCCTAAAACCGAGTAATAGATAGGCTATAGAATACGTATACAATGGAACACTATAATATAGCAATGAAAATTAATTGCCAAAATAACAAAAAGCAAGTCTTAAAACATTTCATATGATTCTAATTAAATAAAGTTTGAAATAGACAAAACCAAATGATAATTAATCACAGATACATATATACATGATATAATGGAGTGAATAATTAAAAAAATTCTGGATGGAGACTCCCCCTGGAGAGAAGGGAATGGGTATGCAGTTGAGGAAATATACACAAAAGACTTCTATTTCTTAAGATCAGGGATGGATAGACTGGTGTTTACTATTTTTTAAACTGTATATATACTATCATACATATAGTTCACAATTTTTAAAAGTCTAAAAACCTTCTATGTAGTATGTTAACAATAGGCAATAGCAAGAACAAAGATTTATGTTAAAAGCCATAATGTAGTACTTCCCTGCCTAGTATTAGGGCCTCACTAAGTTGCTAAGGCTGGTTTTGAAATTGTGATCTTCCTGCCTCAGCCTCCCAAACTGCTGGGATTACAGGCATGTACTCTATAATTTTTGAAGGAGCAATGAAGCTCCTGACATATAGTGCTAGATCTGGAATGCAGCCCTAACATATCTTTTTTAATGCATTTAAACTCACATTCATCTCATACTGTTTGCTAAAAGGATGAGAACACAGGCAAAAACAAAACAAAAACAATCCCCTCAAACAACAACAACAAATGAGTATACATCATCTTGCATAGTTGGGCAAAACAGTATATATATATATATGTATGTATGTATGTATAGTAATCGTATTTATAAAATGTATTCTCATTCATTATAATAATTTCACCAAATGCTTACTATCTGACAGGCTCTGGGAGTAAAAAGAGAAAACAAAGTTCTTAGAACTTACTAACCAGGGATAGGCAGGTGGAGATGGTAAAGGGGGATAAAGAATAAACCTATTCTGATCAGAGCAATCAGCACTGCAACAGATTTAAGAAAAATAAGGTTGTCAGTTCAAGATAAGGCACAAGAAGATTTCATTAAAAAGCTACATCTTGTAGAGTTGTAAGAAATTTCCTGGGAAGATTTGGGTAGAAAAGAAATTCCAGAAAAAGGAGACCAAAATAACAACAGGACAAAAGCAAGGAAATTAAGACACTGTCAATTTGAAATATATAGGGTAGGTCAGGTATGCCTAACTGGAGAGTTTGTTTGATCCTATAGATAAATCCATAGAAAGGTTGCAAGGAGCAGATTCAATTTTAAAAAGACTGCTTTGACAACAAGGTAAACAATGGACTGCAATAGGACAAAAAACAGTTGTGATAATTCAGAGAAGAGATGGACAAAATTCACAATTATTTGAGAAAGACAGTGACAAAATGAATACAGTAAATAAGAAAGCAGGAAGAATGTCAGAAAAACTAAGACACATGGTTAACAAGAGAAACAGAAATCAGAGGAAGATGTTACAAAAGTAAAAGAGTTTTCAAGAAGAGAAGGGTCAAAAACATGAAATTTGATAAAAAGCACAAGAATACAATGAGTAATCAATCACTGGATGTGGCAGTTAGAGGTCTTTGGTTACCTGTGCTGGCAGTTTCATTGAAGTGGTGGGACAGAAGTATAGTTCTTTCTAGACTGGTTGAGAGATGGTTATACTTTTAAATGGAAGACTTAAACATCTGGGCTGTAGTGGAAATATGGTTAAGAGAAGGGATAACTGATGAAGAAAGTCTGATGAACAAAGTCTGGAATAGATAAGAAGGGATGGAGAGGATCAAACAAGCAGTGAAACTATATAGAACAAGAGTAGAAAACTTTGATAGTGTGAGAGAGAGGCATTCAGGCACAAGAATGTTCATTCAACAAACATTTATTGAATATCTGCTATATATCAGATACTACATGAAGTGCTGGGGGCTATAAGATGAATAACTTATGAATAACTCAGTTCCTGTGAGTTCAAAGAGCTCATATTTTAGTGGACAAAATAAACTAAATGTAATATGATGTTTTACACACAAACACACTTAAGATGAAATGGGCAGAATTTAAGGGAACAGCTCTAATGCAAGGCAGCATCTGCATGTTATTTTCTCCATGAAATAATCTGCCAAGTATTCTAGGGGGTCAGGGCTTTCAGGCAAGGTGAAGAAAGGGATAATTGTTCAAAAGAGTTGCCTGGATAATAAAACAATAGCCACTGGTATTCAAGATCCACTGTCCCTGTATTCTTCAAAACAATCCTATTCTTTTCATTTTACCAAAGAAAAAACTGAGAAGTTAAAATTTGAGAGGCATTAAATATTTCCGTGATATTGGAAGCTGTTTTTGGTAGTAACAAAAATCTGCATAATATTGTCATTTTTCTCCTGAAATGCCTCTCAAGAACGCAACTGATTCAGCATATTGGATTTACAAGCCTATGGGACGTGTATGGGAAGAGGAAACGGGAAGTTGAAGAAATGGGGAAGAAAGCAATTTTAGTAATTATTCACTGAATCTATGGCTTGAAGAAATAAAGGCAAGGCAGATTTGGAGGAAAATGAAGGAATCAAGGAACTTTGAGAACATTTAGCAGTAGAAAGAATAGTAAAACATCAAGTTGAAGTAGAGTAAGATTTTAAAAATTTTATTAATGAAAGAGTTAGTGCTGACAAGAACCAGAATGGGCCATGAAACTGAGTTCAAGGGAGTGGCAGTCATTCAATTAGATGAGGTCACACATTTAGCATATGATAAGATTGAACAAACTCAGGTCTCCAATTTCAAAGTTACTTCAAAGCTGCCTATATCTCATAATCCTTTAACAATCAACATTAAACTATTTTCACAACCACAAAATTTCTTGCCTTATTCAACAGAACATGTATACCAATTTAGCCTTTTCTTAATGTTATTTTAAGTTATCATTATCATCATCATATTGAGGTATGAGTATTTTTTTAGTTGGGTATTCTTCCACCTCTTCTTTGAGACAGCTTTCAATTTCCCCTGCTGTCAGTATACCTGCTACTACTTTCTAATTTGCTATAACATAAAAGAAGCAAAACTTTTCCAAGGAAAACCAGGAACAAAATCAGAAAGTTTAATTTTACAAATATCAACTAAGGGTAGTTTTATTTCTTTTCTATGTATTAAAGGCTGGGGATTTTGGCAGTGGGTTTGTATCTCTGACTAAAGGAGATGTCCCCAATTATTTAAAACATTGGTTAACTGAGGTTTTTGATATTACTTTATTTCCAAAACCCTCTAATTGGCACTGATATTTACTATCCCCTAAATCATTATATAAAAATTTTTTCTTAATATGAAGTACTACTCATTCTTTTATAGTGGATTTGTAGAGAAATTATAAGAACTTCTAATGATCATACCTCTTTTTTGGCTTCTTTTTTAGGATCGTAATCACTATCATTCCCATCCATTGGGTGTGTTTCTTCCACATCATCATCACTGAAATAAACAAAGATTAGGACATTTAATTCTTTTTTTTTTTCCTTTTATTCCAGTGCTCTTATCAAGCTGATCTATCACCTAATAATTTTACTAAATATTCTTCAATAGAATGAGACTTCTTGTTGGGAAGATGAGTTCATACTTTAATTCCTTCAGTTTTTAGAAACATTAATCCTTTGAAGCTTACAGAATAATTTTAGCAACATTTATAGTTAAAAAACCAAAGGTTCAATAGGAAAGAAAATACATATAGTTTGATACAATACTTACAATTTCAGTTGGCTAGAGAGTAAAAACAGACAAAAACCAGGAAACAAAATGATTTTATACTACCACTAAGTTACAGTCATAATAATGAAGTCTTCAGTTACGCAGGTAATTGTTGAAAGGACATCATCCTCAAAATATATTCTTAATATATGTATTGAGTATATCAATACCGAAAGGGAGTTTAGCGTGGTTCCACATGCCTGTAATTTCTGCGACTTGGGGAGGTTAAGGCAGGAGGATCACAAGTTTGAGGCCAGTCTCAGCAATTTAGTGGGTTCCTAAAGCAACTTAGTGAGACCCTCAAAATAAAAAGTAAAAATAAAAATGGATGGGAATGTACCCAGTACCAAAACCAAAAACTAAAAGGAAACATTGGTAATTATACTTAAAAGAGTTCAACGGAGTTCTTACTATTAAGACTCCTGACCACTTGGCTTTTCCTATCAGAGCAGAAACATGAATGTAAGGATAGGAGATACTTAAAATCTGTTGTGCTAATTTTTTGCCTTAAAAACAGAAGTGATCCAATGCTATGTCTTTAAAAGTATAACTGCAAACGAGCATTAAACCTACCTGTCACCCTGATTATGTCTATTGGCTAGTTTACGAGCTTGACGATCCATCAAACTTGTTCTAGAACGGGTTTTTTTCCAAGAATAGTAATATTTTACGAGGCTTGCAATTGTCTTATCTGGAAGCTTAAAGAAAACAAAACAAAGAATGTTGATATTCCAAGTTTAATCCATGAAATTTGATTAGCAAGATGAGTATCACTGATATTGTTCTTTGATAATAAAGACACAAATGAAAACTACTTCATAGGTATCTTTATAAATTATAAGAGTTAAAAAGTATTGTTCAAATCATAGTACCGCACCACACTAATATCACTGACATTTCTGAATATTAAAGTTTGTTCTGGGTTGAGGGAGGTGGATGGAAGAATGTCACAAATTAACTTAGAATGTCCCCAGAAGTCGCAGCATAGCCATATTAGTATTCAGTATTAATTTTAAACATATAATCGTATATCATCTAAAGACCCACTCAATTCTTTATCGTTTCTATAAATTGAAAATTTTTAATATAATTAAAGTAACATAAAAGTCAAAAATAAGTGAACAGCTCAGTGGTTTTTAGTATATTCACTAAGTTGTACTTTACCGCTATCTAATTCCATAACATTTTCTAACCTCAAAAAGAAATCCTATACCCATTAGGAGCCATTCCTTATTCTTTCCTCCCTGGTAACCACGAGTCTACTTCCTGTCTCTATGGATTTGCCTATTCTAAACATTTTCATATAAAGGGACTCATACAGCATATGGTCTTTTGAGTATGGCTTCCTTTCATTTAGCAAAATGTTTTTAAGAGCTAGCTCCAGCCAGCCATGGTGGTGCATGTCTGGAATCCCAGCAGACTGGGAAGCTGAAGCAGGAGGATTTCAAGTTCAAAGCCACCCTCAGCAAAAGTGAGGGACTAAGCAACTCAAATAGGGCTGGGGATGTGGCTTTAGTACCCTGAGTACAGTCCCTGTTACTATAAATATTAATTAATTAATTAAAAAAATTAAGAAATAAGAAGAGCTAGTTCGGTTCTTAATACTGAACTTTTTGAATCACTTGGTTTTAAATCCAGGTCTTAACATGGTAAATAATGCAGACTTCAGTCATGGAATAAAGTCTTTGAATATCAAAGTTAATTATCATACACTCAAATGTTATACTGGCAAGCAAGGATCACTCAAACTTCTCCCAAAAATGTTCTCTTCAGTTATGGAAGATGTCTAGAAATATTTACAAATATCATCTAATTTTTATTCACTTTGGCTAAATTAGTTTAATCAGTAATTTCTCAGACATTGATTCATTAAAAATTTAAGAACTAATTCTAATGTCATAAAATGAACATTTAAAAATAAAGTTGAAATTATGATTTTTTCCTCTGAGAACAAACATACTTCTATCACCACATAAAATTTAAGTCAAAACAAAACTAATTTATTAAATAGAAACAGCACACAACTGTCATGCATGAATGGTTTTAGAAAATAGCACGATATGGAAATATACCTATTTTTAAATAATTTAAATTAAAAGTTGGAAATTTTTTTTATATTCACTAATTAGGAAGTATTCAATAGTAGCATAAGATGTCATTCAGGTATGAATTGCAGAAAGACCAAAATCACCATACCATTTGTTGAATCCTGTGAAAGCTCTTCCCATGAAAACTAAAGGCTTGTTCAAATAGGACTTTATCTTCAACTGTCCACTCATCCGGAAAGGGAGTGAAATTAGGGAGATCAGCAAGGGACTTCTCAATGTTATGTTTATGCCAAAACAACATGCCAAGTGCCTTTGAAGAGAAATCATTCCTCTTTGGTTTTAATGGACTTATGTTCTATCACATTTAAAAAAGTTAAACACAAATTACATAAAAATATTAAGCCTATGACTTCAACTGAAGATATAGTCACAGTTTAGGGCTTTTAATCAGAGGTACCCAGGTAGCATACCTTGTTTTGTTTATTTCTTGTAAATCAGAGCCCCAGAACAGCAAATGTTCATACATCCCATATTTGCTGCATCATCTAAAAAATTATTTTCTTTTAAATCAGCGTGTCAGAACAACGAATATTCACACATACCATATTTGCTGCACAATCTAAGAAAAAGAGTGAGCTGAGGATAACTTTAATTTCTAAAGCAGATTTATAGGCTTATACCATGGTTTTTACACCACCAAACTTATTAATTTGTCAATGTATAGAAAAAAATATACTAAAAGGAAAATATCAAGTATATCAATACTTGAATGAAACTATCAATTTTAACACAAAATCAGAAATATTCAGTTGGGACTTAGTAGAGAAATACTTAGAAGTATAGATAGGCTAAACACTTCCAAGAATTGAACTTCCCCTGCAATTTTAACAAATATTTTATTACATATTTTTAAAAGTTATATTATTATCATAATATATACATATAGAATTATTAGAAGGCATATAAGTAATATTCTTAGTCACTAAGTCATAAGCCTGAAATGGCCAATTTCTAAAATTTCTATAACTTTCCACTCTATTGTTAAGTAGTAGGCCAACTCCTTTAGGGGATAAATCTTTGAAGACTTTAAAAAGAGATACAGCATAAAAAAGTTAAATAAGGGGCTGGTAAAATAGCTTAGTTGGTAGAGTGCTTGCCTTGCATGCATAAGGCCCTGGGTTCAATCCCCAGCACCACAAAAAAAAAAGTTAAATAAGAAGCTTAGATATACAGATAAACACCTCAATAAAATAATATTAATTTACCATGCCAGACTATAGTTAGTCCTCGATAACCTAGGTTATAAATGCTTTACCTTTCTCACTTCTCTAAAAACAAATCTACCTAAATTTTCTCTAAAACAAAATTTTACTGTTGATTCTGATAAAAGATGAAATGCTACTTAGTTGAAATGAGATTTAAGAACCTATTTCCAAGCAGAGTACAATGGTGCATGCCTATAGTCCCAGTTACTAAGGAGGCCAAGGAAGAAAGACTGCTTGAGCCCAGGAGTTTTAGACCAGCCTGGTCAACATAATAAGAACCCACATCTTAAAATAAATAAATAAATAAATAAATTCTCTATACCTGTTCAACATTGTAGCCATGTTTTTCCTTTGCAATTGCAATATATTCATCCACTGTAATGAAACAATGTTAGATAATTATTTTCATTTACTTAATATGCCCATGTATATTATTTTTTTAAACACGACAAAATACTTTATTTTTTCTGGGGCAAAAAAGTAGCCAAATCCATCTTCCACAAAATGTTACAAAAAGAGACTTATATAAACAGGATCAGAGGTTTGCCTGGTTTAAAATTTTATTTAGTATGCCATCTCTTTGACCATATATCATATACTTATTAAATGCAATGGAATCAGTACAATTATTTTTATATGCAGAAAAATACCAATCTGTGAGTAGACAACAGAATTTAATTACAATGTAAATGCTAAAACAAATTCTGGATTTTTCTATTACTCTTCATTTGAGAAACTTAACTATTTAAAACCCTTTCTCATGTTTTAGAGTTGGCTCAAAGCCTTTACAATCCCATTTCTGATTGTTGTATAAAAGATGATTTACCTATGATTTTGCCAGTTCTATAGAATAATAACAAATTTAAGTATGCTTCAGTATTTCTGAAATTTTCTTCAGTTTTCCCTGCTTGTTATATAAAGAGAATCTGAATATTTCATTTTCATTCATCCTTCATATGTAATTAAGTTAACAAATTCTTCACTTAAGCAGTTTTAACGATGATACTATTTCAAGGCCTCACTGCTAAGAAATATGCCAAATTCAGGACTTGGTTTCATGTGAAGTCCAAACCATCACTTCTTCTTAACCCTTTATACTTCCTTAAACATACTTCTCAGAAGCAGTGGTTATAAATTTTCGGTCCTGAAATAACTAGTCTACCTAGGCTTGATTTTCTGATTACCAAGTTTTCTGACTTGGTCAAGTAACTTGACCTTATTTACTTCAAGTCCCCACCCCCCAAAATGGTGACAAAAATAATGCCTTCCTCTTACAATTAAATGAGTTAATATATGGGAAGTGCTTAGTGCAGCATTTGGCACATCATTTTAAGTATTTAAGAATCTGCTACTAATATTGGTCAGTACAGTTTAATATTGTGCTATATAACAATATGCCATTATAACAGCAACTATTTTTTATGAATGCTACTATTAGCTCCCCCAGTATAAATTTTTGGTGCAAAAAATCCAAATATTACATTTTGCTTAGAATCCACAGCATTTAAATACATTACATCTAAATATATGCTGATTAAATTTAATAAAAGTATTTTATAGTCCTATAGATAGAAAACTAACCAATACCAACCAACCAGTGGTTCTCAACCCTGGCTATGTATTAGAATCAGTGTGGAAGCTTTTAAAAAGTAAGATGCCCAGGCTTCACCTGTGAATATTTAGATTTAATTGGTTTAAGAGGAATGCTAGACATCAGTACTCTTAAAAGAAAGTTTCCGAAATGATTCCAATGCACATCCAGGATTTAAGATCACTGCCCTAGACCTTTACTGGATATTCTAAATGGACACCACACTACTAAGGTCATGCTAGCTTTCTGGATTTTGTTTTCCACTTTTCTAAGAAGTGCACCACTGTATAAAACAAGGCTAAAACAGCAAAATGCAATGACACCCTGATGATTTTTGTGAATGAAAACCTTTGCCTTTAATGAGAATTAAACCTGAGAAACCCAATCTTTCAAATTCTCAGTACACAACTCCAGACCAAATGAACAATTTCATGTTTTCAATTAAGAATGCCACAAAAGAACATATTCCTAGATTACCAGCTAGACCTTTAGCTGGTATTCTAGAGTTCTTAAATAGGAAGAATTATCAGGTATGCAAAAGTATACTCAGTTTTCAATTTTTAGTTTTCTTATTGCATCAATAAGCATGATTAGACTTACTATGCACATGATACATAGGACATCATTAATTTTCTTGACACTGAAAGCATGATACATCTTTATGATGTTAGTAAATATTTTAAAAAGACAAGCTATTTTATAGCTTCTAGAATGTCTGTTCAGTGTTGCTGTTGCTGTTGTTATTTAATAAGTTCAATGATAACTGAATGGAGGGACGGGGATCTTAGTGTTGTTACCTGCACGTTTCCTATATCTGATGTGCCGCAAAGGATCAGGTCCGCTACATCACATTGAAGTCTAAAGCCACACCATGATTCAAGAAGTGCATGGTCAATGATCCAGAAGGTCTCCGTCCAGAAATGGAGAGCACAAAGATGACCTGATGGCTGCTGAAGTCAGTTCTTTCCCCTTTCCTCTTTAAAATGGTAATGATAGTGGGCTCTTTGAAGTTTGAAGGCATTTCTTTACAGCTCCATATACTGAGGAAAAGCCTGTGCAGAGGTCTATATAGTAACTCCCTCCCCTGCTTGAGGATTTAAGCAGCAATGCCATCAGATCCTAGGTTTTTCATTCTTCATGGGCCTGACACAACTTGGAATGATCAACCCACTATCTTTCAAAAGGAAAAACATTCTAATATAACAACCTCCATTAAAAAAAAAAAACAACAAAATTGTTTTCTTATAAGAATCTAAAAGACTCAAAAACAAACATAAGTTGCATTTTGAACTGGCTGATAGATCCCTGTTAACCTTAATGTTCAATCTCAGAAAACTTACATTTGGCATCTGGGATACTGTGATATGGAGACCATACAAGCATCCCTCCATTGTCTTTATCTGTGTACTTTGTAGCACCTGGGGAAAAAATTAATTATTTTGAATATTATGCAATTTATTTACATTGAAAGTAAGTGTAACATTACCTGCAAAGGTGGACAAAGAAAGTACAGGAAAACAAAGAGAAGAAAAATACATTTAAAGACAGTGATATCCATTTATGATAACATAGGAAATTTTGCAAATTCTGTTGCTTAGCCAACTTAAATTAAAAAGACTTTCTGAAGTAGATTACATATTCCTATTTCCTAACAGAATCTGATTCAACCTTCTACATATTACTACATATATTAGGAATCATCACTAAGAATTCTGAATTTTTAAAGTAGAGAGAATACCTCAGGTATTGTTTTGTCCCACTCTAAATCGGCCAAGATTGCTGTAATTTTTTAAATAGTAGGGTCTGCTTTTGTCAGACTCCCATGTAAAAATATAAATGCAAGCTGGGCGTGGTGGCACACACCAGTAATCCCAGTGGCTCAAGAACTGAGTCAGGAGGATCATGAGTTCAAAGCCAACCTCAGCAAAAGTCAGGCCCTAAGAATAAGAAACTCAATGAGACCCTGTCTCTAAATTAAATACAAAAGAGGACTGGGGCGGAGGCTCAGTGTTCAAGTGTCCCTGAGTTCAATCCCTGGTACCAATAAACAAATAAATATACCTACATATACAAATGCAAAATAGTCAACCCATTCAATGGAAATAAAACAGAAATTCTATCTATGTTGGTCAGAAGCCTTGACTTAATAAAATTTAATCCGGTGAATGTCCTAAACTTGAATCCTTTAACATGGAACTGATTCTTTTTGCATAATGGATTTTAACAATAACATCAGTTAAATCATATATAATAGAAAATGAAATACATTGTCTCAAGTCTTAATAGCATATCATGCTTAACAATTAAATACATTTCCTTGCAACTCACTCTTACATAAAGTGTAAATTATATCTCATTAAACAAAAGTTGAACTTTTAAAGAAAAAATTTCCCATGAACAATATCAATCATGTTTTCCCCCAAATTCCTAGTATTGTAATGAAGGGCTTGATCTGATAGAAACTGGCATCTAAGCTGTGGGGACTAATAGTTCTTTTGACACAGAGGTTAAAAGGGGTATGAGTAGAGGGCAATTCTGTCTGATAGCAGAAAATGCCTAATCAGGCATTTTAGAATGTTTCCCTGACCCTGGACTCTAACATTTTCAATTGTATGTGGGTCAACTAGGTCCAAGAGAGAACTGATGTTTACACAAGTGGATCAGAGTCAGACTCCCAGAATTTGAATCCTAGCTCTGACACTTGGTAGTTGTGTCTCCTTGGGTATATCCACATAATCAGTCTGAGCCTCAGTTTTCCTCATCTCTAAAAATAGCAATGTTGAGTACTTACCTACTTCATAGAGTTGTTCAAAAACTGAATTAATGTAAGTGCTAGACACATGATAAGCATTATAGAAGACTTAATATTACTGGCATGTTTATTTAAGATAGTTTTTACTTAAGTTCCCTTCTTTATCCTGGAAAGGCTTCTTCTCATCTTATCAACCATTACCTAAAATAAATAAGTAAAACCTCATGGGGATATAACTCAAATGGCTAATATTCTCTCACCCATCCTTTGAAAATAAGACTGAATAACTGAAATGACTGAAAAGACTTCTCATCTTATTCAGAGAGTAACTTGTCCTATTAAAATAATTATGCTTTAGAAAACTTTATATCCAATAAAGCTTTACCCATTCTACTATAAAAACTACACTAAACAAATACTTAAAGGATATAAATAAGTTTAATGCTTAGTTTAACTGTAAAAATATTTAAAAGCATACCCAAATACTATCTTCACATTCAGAAATAGTGAGAATCAAACCTGATTCACCAACAAAGTAATCAAGCCTTAGAAGAATATTATCTTCTGAATATATTAAAAGCAAACCAAAACCTATATTGAAAGCTACCATAATTTTAAGACTATGTAGTACCATGTCAGTTCTGAAAATAGCCTGTTAAAGCAGTATTTAAATAAAACATTTAAAAGCTTAGTTTTTTGAAGTCACTTGGATCTCTTTTAAACACAGTTGGTAATTTATGAGGCTACTGGGGACAACCAACTAAGAAACCATAATACAATTTGACAGGCTAAGACTTCTTATCAACAGCAAATTTCAAAATATGTAAAAAAAAAAAAATCTAAGTTTTTTTAGATTTCCTTTAAAGTATTAAAATTAAGGACTGTGATGGAAATCATGGAACAGACACACTAAATAATGAACTTAAAAAATGAAGAGTGAGATAGTCTGAATATTTAAAAAATTCTACTATTTATATATAGTAGGCTTTAAATAATATACTTGATATACCAACTTTAAATTGGGGTCAGCAAAGACTCCCAGGGATACATAAGAATAAATAAATTTTAAGGGAATTAATTTTCAGACTTTGAACTCTGTTTTCTTTCCCAAGACAATCTGCCTGACAACTCATCTGTCAATTATGTTACATAAAGTAGTCCCCCCTTACCTGAGGTTTCACTTCCCATGGTAACTGTGATCCAAAAATATTAAGTGAAAATTTTCAGAAATACACAATTCATAATTTTTAAACTGCACACCACCCTGAGCAGCATCATGAAATCTCACCCAGTCCCACTCAGTCCTCTCTGGGATGTAATCATCCCACTTTGTCCCACATATCTATGCTGTATGCACTACAGCTTGGCAGCTGTCCTGGTTATCGGATTAACTGTAGTAGTACTGCAGTCCTTATATTCAGGTAACTCTTATTTTACTTAACAATGTCCCCAAAGTGCAATAATAGCAATAGTGACAATTCAAATATGCCAAAGGAAAGTCACAAAATACTTTAAGTGAAAGTTGGAAGTTCTTGACTTAATAAGGAAAAAAAAAATATTTTGAGTTTGCTAAGGCCTACCTTAAGTTATTGCATATCCCTGCAGATATTGGGGGATTACTATGTGCTCCTTCTAGTTCTGTCATCCCTCTTTAAAAAATGCCCTTCTCTTAAACAAAACAACAAAAAATGTCTTATCCATTCCAAATATTACAAGAACACAACGACCAGAATTTTAAAACTTAAAGGGTTCCAGACAAGGTATCAACAAAACCCTCCTTTAAGATATAACTACAATTTTAATCAGTGATGCAATACTTCAAGTCAGAAGAGCTATTCACGTAGCATCTTATGTTCACAAGAATATATATTATGAAAAAAAGTTGGACATATTGTGAAGAGAAGTAGAGAAGTTGGGCAGGTGATCAATAAAATACTTCCAAGCATACAAATATATTATGGAAGATAAAATTCTGTGGGGAAAATGCATGGAAATGATTTCAAAGACAAAAGAGGAATAATATAAACTTTCAGACTTTAAGGAATCTACCAATGTATTTTACAAAAGAGATAAGAAAGATCATATCAATAAAGTATATTTAATGGATGCATTTAATATACCACAGATTACATTCTTCAATTACTTAAACTCAGTTACAAATAAGAGATGTCAACTTTAAAATATATGAATCTGTTGCTCCAAAATATGTTTATGGGTATGTAAGCAAAATATTTTGAAAACTCCTATTGTGTATACATTGATTTTCACTTAATCTTGTGATACACTTAACACCTCCCTTTTATGAATAAGAAATTTAAAGCCTAGAAAAGTCAGATAGTTCACCTAACATCACCATCCTTACTAATGGCATATGATCAGAGCTAAGATTCACTACGGAAAACCACTCTTCATGAAGTAAGATGTCAGTGACCACTAAATAAAAGGAAGAACTAGTAAATGATTGAAAAATAATCAGAAATCTAGTTTGTAAATTTTAAAGACTTTATTAGCAATGATTCCTTAAGAAAGAGATAGTGTCCTTGACCTCCTAACTTTAGTTTTCCAACATAAATCTACATATCAGTAATTTATCAGTAACTATTTGTCATTGATAAATTCATTATGTGCTCAATTTCTATCACAACCATCATATCTTTCAATAAAAATACCCTTCACAAATAATCTTCTTATTTTTTCTACATTTTATCTTAATAATTTCAGTACCTAAGTAATTTTCTCTGTCAGATGACTTATTAGGGTTATGGGGAATAATCTTCACAAAGGTGGGCTGAGTTCAGGTTTATGAGATGCTCAGAATGAAATGGTAGGAGAAAAGGATAGTGTAGCTACTTCTCAATTTCTGTCATAAGTTAATAAGTATCTCTTCCATTATTATCTTTTCAAAATGCAAATTCTCACCTAATTATTTTGAATTGATAGAAAATGAAAACTCTGAAGTATAGTTCCACACTTGGAATAAAACAGAGCAGCAAAAAGTATATTTCCTTACTAAAACAATGTCTGGGGCTGGGGTTGTGGCTCAGTGGTGGAGCGTTTGCCTAGCATATGTGAGGCCCTGGGTTCAATTCTCAGCACCACATACAAATAAATAATAATAAAAAAAATTTATATAACACACACACACATATATATATATTTATGTTTAAAAAATGTCTACAAATTGATAATATACATTTAGTTGGCAGAACTGACCTACGGTCAGAACAGAAAAGCCTATCTAAGGCTAAATGGTAATTGTTTTTTTAATTGTATGCTTGGACTGGAGATTATTCTACTTATGTTCAAAATAAGCAAAGTATATTCAATTAAGTTGGTTAGTCCAAATAGTCATCATGTCAAACCACCTAAACAATATTTTGTTTAATGAATTATTCTTTAAATTTTGAAATTCATTCCATGGTTTATTATTTTTAAAAAACGCTTTACAGTATAAGTTCACTTCAGTATGATGTCTGGTTCTTAAACACAAAACCCCTAATTAACCTGTACAGGAAACAAATGTTTACTCACATTGACCTAATGGGACAAAAAGATATGCTTATTAACTTATGAAATAATTCTGGCTGCTAAGTTCTAATTTGGAAATAACTTTATCATATCAAGAGAAGCACAGTGTACTAATGAAAGTTCCAAGTGAAAAAGGTGTAAATATACTGAGAACAATTTCTCATAATTATGAAATTTAATCTACTGAATAAGAAGAGCCATATGCCCCATCATTTAATCCTGGCAAGAATACCATAAAATAGTTTGGCAAACAGATTCAGGAAGGCCAATGACTTGCTCAGAGCTCAAAAACAAGAGTAGGTAAATTAAGTCTATCCTAAAGCCAAGGTATGCTTTTTCTAAATGTCAAGCTAAACCCTGAGGTACATGGTGATGTTCAAGTGCCATTCACCTACTAGTTACACGAATAGGAAAATCAGTTTCACAAAAATGTTTAAGAATACTTGAAACCCACCAGTACACATACTGATAGCCTTTGCATAAAATGAACTAACAGTCATGTCATTTCAACCCAGATCTTGTGAGCACTCTTCTAACATTGTTTTCACCTACTGGATAAGAGACTGTCTTGACAATCCTTTTAACACTGATTATTTTATCCTCTTCCCATGGGAGAAGAGCTGCTACCTAAACTGTTCAAATGGTTGGTAAATATAATTTTGCACTGTTCTAACAGGGAGGAAGAAAACGAACACATCCATCCCCATCTAATAATTAAACAAACATGCTGTCTCCCTCTAGAAAATTCAAGTAAGCACTATTAATATCTAACATAATTCAAGAGTCAGACACGATGTTGATATGAATGGGCACTGGGCAAAAAATGAACAACTAAGAAAAAAGGGGAGGGGGCTTTTCTAAGCCTGTCTAAAGCCTGAACTGAAGAGAGTCTGGGCGGGGTAGGGAGGAGAAAACGCGCTCCACTCCTGAGAGGCTCCAGCAAGGGCGCCTCCATATGCGGAACTCTCGCCCAATCCCCGCGCAGGCTGAAATCCCGTGACCGTGAGGGAGCCTGTTTGGAGAAAAGTAGACTGGGAGCCCGCAAGCTGGGTTGGCAGAGGACGCTGGAACCTGGCTGCTCGGGGAGAAAATGTCTCCTTGGCAGCTGCAGCCACTGTCCTGTGGTCTGACTTCCTAGGGCTGGCTGGAGAGCGAGGTGTGCCGCTGGCGTCTCCCCACTCCCTTCCCCCACCCCTTTTCCTCCGCGGCTTCAACACTCCGCAGAGATGCCGCGGCCAAAGCCACACCACCTAGCCAAAAAGAAAGAAAAGAGACAATCCCGGCTGCAAGGGGGTGGGCAGGGCTTGCCCTTGGCTTGGGCGGGTGACAGGCGCCCAGGCCTTCACAGCCTGTCCTTGCAGAGCGCGGCCAGGGGTTCCCGGGGGCCGGTTATGTGGCAACTGACATTTGCAGGCTCCTCTACACGTAGCCCGTACGCCCTCTCTCCTCCAGCCCCCGGCTCCGCAGTCCCTGCTTCCCCGGCCTCGGACTCCTTCGACTCCACTCACCCCGACCCCAGCTTCGTGCTGCGGGGGCAGAAAGGCGATGCCATCAGCGGGCAAGTGGTCTCCAAAGGAAACCATGTTAACCTTGCAATGCACACATCTGCCCACACGCCCTGTGTCACTGCCCGGCCAAGCCTGACAGCCTCTCCGCCAGAGATGCCTTCCCTTGCCCTGCCCAGCCCAACCCAGCCCCACAACCCTCCCAAGCCCCACACCCGGACCCCTACCCCGGCCACCCCAAACCAAGCCCAGAAAAGGGGAGACGAGATTTTCCTTAAGCAAATATATCTACCTGGATCAAATTCAGGGATCCGAGCTTGGTATTCAGCTCCGACTCTCATCCCAACATCTGCAAAGCAATGCCAAAAAATAAAAAAATAAAAAATAAAATAAAAATGAAAAAAGAAGAAAAAAATAAAAATTAAGAGACACTTAATTAAAAAAATAAAAATTGCTGTAGGAAGGACAGAAGCGGCGGTGGATGGGAAGATATTAACTCGGGGCAGTCCGGGAGATGGCAGCGGATGGGGGGCGGGGAGCTGGGGGGGGCGAGGGCGGAGGATTGGTCGAGGGCGGAGGGACGGGGGTCGCGGGGTGCTGCTGCACTGCACCGGGAGTTCGAGGCTACCGCAGCGCCCGGGCTCCGAGGGGAGGGAGGGCGGGAGCGCGGCGAGGGGAGGGGGCTGGGGGAGGGGAGGAGGGAGGAGGGGGGCAGGCGGGCTGGCGGGGAGGAGTTCGAGGCTACCACCGTGCTCGTCGTCGCTGCTGCAGCCGCTCTCGGGCTCCGAGTAGTGCAGCCCGCCGTTGGTGGAGGAGGCGCCGCTGCCGCCGCCCGCCGGGCTTTTGGCGCTGCCGTTGGCCGATCGGTTCTTCCCCAGTAACTCGGGCCCTTTCTCCATCATGCCGGGCATGGTAGAAGAAGGGAGGGGGAAAGGTGTGGGGAAGAGGTAGGCGTCAGGGTGAAGGGGGAGATGGCTTACGAGCGCGGGCGGAGGGAGAGGAGGAGGAGGAGGAGGAGACGGCGGCGGCGGAGGAGGAGGGTGTTAATATGGAGCCGCCATAACCGCCCCGGTCCGGCAGTAGCGCAGTCGCCTCACAACAACCCGCCCCGGCCCCGCCTCTCTCCCCTCCTCCCTCCGCCGCCGCCGCCCGCCCAGCGCAGTCCCGGGCGCCCCTCACGGCCGCGCCGCGCTCTACGCCGCCGCCGGTATCACTCCGCCCCGCAGGGAGGTTCCGGCCGCCAGAGGGGGAGGGGAGCAGAGTGGAGGGGGAGGGGCGGGGAAGCCCCGCTCGCCGCCGGGCCACCCCCATCGTGCGCTCGGAAGACCGCCGTCGAGACGCAGCCGCCACTCGGCGTCCTTCCTAGGGGGCGCTCAGGAGCGCGGGCGAGAGGTGCTCGCGGGGGAGCGGGACTCTTTGCCCTCTCAGGGCGGAAGGAACGCGGTCAGCCTGAGAAAGTCCGGCTAGACCCGACCGCCCTAGTCGGGGGGGCGACCTCCGGTCTGGTGTGCCACCGCAGGTCAGGCGATCCGCCAGACCCCGGCGGGAGCGCGGTACTCCCAAGGTACTGCCGCCGCCGGCTGCTCGGCTTCCGCGGTCCTCCGGCAGCGACAAGCTGGCGGCGCGCGCCTGCCCGTCATGCAGTCGCGAGGTCTAGTGTGGCGGCCTTGAGTCCGCCGTCGCCCAGCCAGCAAGTAGTTTCGGCCATAGCGACCTGGAGCTACATTTTTTTTTTCCTGGATCTCTGAATTGGGGCCCAATACCCGAGAGAGGCTGAGGGTGGCAAGATGAGTTTCTCCAGGCTGAGAATGCAGCTGTGTTTTGCTAAAACACCCTCCCGCACGGGGAGTGGGGACACGTTCACTCTATCTTCCGCTACCCATCACTCCGTTCTATTTAATCTCTCTTTAGTAGTTGAGGGATAAACGCCGTGAGTGGGAAAACAAAATTTAGACGAAGTCCTTTCCCAGTTGGCGCTTTCTCTGTCCGCCCTGACCTATGGTGGTAGCTTGGAGCAGATCCGTGGGCAGGCAGAGTCCTCAAGTAGAGGTGAGGAAAGAGCTGCATTCTGGCAGAGTTTCCAGCCTGAAAGGAGAGGTGCTTTGTAATGCTTTTCTCAGCTGCATTTATTCGTTCACCAGAGTTGAGAGTGTCTGTTGTTTGCCAGGCTGTGTGGCATCAGGGGCTATTCATGATAGTCTCTCTTGGAGTACAAGTGAGGACTTACTGTGTGTAATATGCAGATGTATGCCGAGCAATATTTAGGAGTACCAGTGAAACAGTTTACAAACACTTGAAAATAAAGATTGTCTGGATGAAACCAGAAATGAGTTTCTGGTCAGAACAAGCTTTTACTGATATAACATACCTAATCAGGAACTGAGCCAAGAAAATCCTGGGAAGCAAATATTTGACGGACCCTGTCTAAAGGACAATGCATCATACCCAGGTATAGAACCTCTGGTTCTGATAGTGAAGATAGTCTCCTCGCTATCCAAGTTGATAGGATTACATTAAACATTTAAATCATACAACTAAACTATTAATTCTTGTTTCTTTTCTCAACAAATACAGTTCTGAATAATATTTTAAGTGCCAATACGGTTTTCTACAAGGAGAGAATGTCCTGGTCAAATGAAGTGAATAGCCATTTCCTTTGATGGTTATGTTTTTCATTGTAAATTAATATATTGGTATTTGGGTTTTTATAGAAGAGCTTCTAATCAACATGACTCAGCTCCTTTGGTCCTGTAACACAAAGCTAGATCCTGAACTTAGGAAGTTCACCAAGATAAATGCCACTGAGTCCTCTAAGCAGCCAGCTTTCTTAACACTCCAACTCTGCACTTTTCTACAAAAAGGAATCTACATGTAGTTCAGGAACCAAAACACTGAGAAGATTTGGGATCTTTGTGACTTGATTTCATGTTTATTAGTAAAACCTTTGAAGTGAAAAGATTCTTCGGGAGTACAGCAAATAGGGCAGAGCAGAGAAGACTACATTCCTCTGCTGGGGAAAGAACCTGAAAAAGGAATGTTTTGCTCCTGAAGAAAAGGAAAGCACCTGAACTTGGCCTTGGTTTGAAGAATAACAATGGGCCATAAAATGATTTCTGGAGAGTTGACAAGGACAGGGAAAAAAGTTCTAGGGAGAAAGTCTTGGGAATGCCAATTTTGAAAAGGGTTAGAAGAAGAAAAGCAGCAGAGCGAGGAAGAAAGAAGTTTTGAGAATTGGGTTAAAATAAGCAATGTCCAGTGATACAGCGTCAGAAGAAAGGTTTAGAAAAAGTTCTTTGGGTTTGTTAAGTAGAAGGTTGTTGGTTATTTTTGACTAGTTTGTTTTCTGGGATACATATATGTGTGTTCTGTGTTTAATTTTTCACAATTTTCTTATTTTAAATTTGGAACAGCTAATACTATCTCTTAGTTCTAGAATCAAAAGTGTGTCATTATTGTACTGAACATCCCAGCAATTGCAAAAAAATAATAATAATAAAAAATAAAAAGGCAAGTAAAAATTGAAAAGATATGTCTTTTTTTTTTCTTTTGGAGAAAGCATAATAGTCTATCATTTTCACACATAATCTACAAACTGTTAGTAGTAAGTGAATTTAATAAGTTGCTGGATACAGTAACAAAAATATGTAGCTCTAAACAATTAGAAAATGATTTTTTTAAAGTGATACTGCATTCAAGTACAATAAAAATATCTACTCTATTCGTTTCCTGCTGTAATAAATTACCCTAAACTTGGTGATTTAAAGCAGATCTATCCTCTCACAGTGCCAGAGCCCCTAAGTCTGTAATCAAAGGGCTGCTATCCCTCCAGAGGCTCTAGGGGTGAATCTGTTCCTTGCCTTTTCCAGTTTATGATGTCCCCTGGCATATCTTGGCTTGAAGTCACATCACTCCAACTCTGTTTTGATCTTTACATTGTCATTGTTATATGTACGTCTCAAAATTGACCCTACCTCTCACATAAAGGACAATATGATGTTTTTTTAGGGACCACCTGGATAACCTAGAGTCATTTCCTCATGCCAATTTCCTTAATCACATCTACAAAGACCCTTTTTCCAAATAAGGTAACATTTAGTGGTTCCAGGATTTAAGACCTAATACCTTTGGGGCTATGATTCAGTCTACAACACTTAGGAATAAATTTTATGAAGCATACAATAAGAACACTATACTGAAAATGATGCTATTGAAAAAATTTAGAGAAAACTCAAATGAATGAATGAATGAATGAATATGCTATGCTCATAAATAGGAAGACTCAGTATTGTAAAGATGTCAGTTCTGTTAGTCTATCCCTAGGTGTATAATCCCAGCAGGTTGTGTGTTTGTATAAATTGACCAGCTGATTATAAACTTAAACAGATACTAAAAAAGTTAATAACATCCAAGACAATCTGGAAGGAGAACAAATTTGGAGGATTTGTCCTACTATATTAATACTTAAAAAAAAAGCTACAAAAAATAATTCATTATAGTACTGGCATAAGGATAGTAAGAAAACCAATGGAACTGAATAGAGTTCCCAAACATATTGATTTGAATATTTGTTTCTACAAAGGTGACACTATAGTATTGTGGAAAAAAATGGACACTTCCGGGCTGGGGTTGTGACTCAGTGGTAGAGTGCTTGCCTAACATGTGTGAGGCACTGGGTTTGATTCTCAGCACCACATGTAAATAAATGAATAAAATAAAAGGTTCATCAACATCTAAAAAAATGGACATTTCAATAAATGCTACTGGGGAAATGAAATATTCATGTGGAACAAAAAGAAATCTTAATGCCTATTCATTAAAAAAAATTCTATATTTATTGTGGGCCTAAATGTAAAATATAAAACAGTGACTTTATAATTTTGGATACTTAAACATTTCTTAAACAAAATATAAAAACACTATTTGTAAAAGATACTATTGAGCATTCCAGGTACAGAAAATAGTCTGGGAAAGGCAAAAAGTCTTTAATTAAAATGTTACAACAGAGAACTAAAAATAGTTGGTATATTCCTAGAGCATTAAGTAAACACAGAGGTAGAAGTTCTGAACCACATGATTGCTTTTATGATATTCAAAGAATAAGGCAAATTACTTTTATAGACATGAAAAAAGACATCTAATCACAGGAGACACTGGGTCTAATTTATGTTTTAGTTTTTTGCTACTGAGGATTAAACCAGGGTGCTTAACCACTGAGCTACATCTCCAGCCCTTTTTTATTTTTATTTTTCTTGTTTTTGAGACACAAGCTTGCTAAATTGCTGAGGCCTTGAACTTGTAAACATCCTGCCTCAGACTCCAGAATCCAATTTGCATTTTATTTTATTTATTTTGGTACTAGGGATTAAACCTCAGGGGCACTCTACCCCCAAGGTACTTCCCCAGGTCTTTTCATTATTTGTTTGTTTGTTTTGAGATAGGGCCTCCTAACTTTATTTAGGGCCTCACTAAATTTGCTGAGACTGACTTTTAAACTTGCCATCCTCTCACTTTAGCTTCCCAAGTTGCTAGGATTATAAGCATGTGCCACTGGGCCCAGCCTAATTTGTATTTTAGATGGAAACAAAATTTGGCAAAGAAATCAGGCTATTGATGTAGTCAAGAAGTGATGAGGCTAAAATTACAACAGTAATAGCAAGACTAGAGGCAAGGACAAGTATTTAGTAAGTAAAATTAGAAAAATTGGGGGATGGATTAAGTATATAAAATGGAAGAGGGCTGGGGATGTGGCTCAAGCGGTAGCGCGCTTGCCTGGCATGCGTGCGGCCCGGGTTCTATCCTCAGCACCACATAGAAACAAAGATGTTGTGTCCGTCGAAAACTAAAAAAAATTAAATATTAAAATTCTATCTCTTAAAAAAAAATGGAAGAGAAGATTCTTAAGCAGATGTTAGGATCTGGGTTTGGATACCTGGGTGGGCAATGTGTCAACAACTGAATACTGAAGACTTATCAATTTGAGGCACAAGGATGAATTCATTTGAGGACATGTAGAGAACTCCATGGGGAGATGTCCAACATGCAGATGGATATAATACCAGGATGGAGAAAAATTTCTTAGTGATCATAGCTAAGATCAAGACCCTTCTTAATCTATTTGGTTTGCTATACCAGACTTTTAGACTGGGTGATTTACAAACAATAGAAATCTGTTACAGTTGTGGAGGCTGGGAAGTCCA